AAAAGAAAAAGTTATTCATTCTGCCATACAATAATATTAGCTTATTATTCAAAAGGAAACTCCTTCCGTTTGTGATGACACTACGAGAACTTGTGGTTCTTAAAAGCATATTGTATATGTGTTACTGACAAACTGCGAAATCCTTTTCATTTACCTAAATTTTCTCTTTGTTACAGATGCCAGAAGGCCAGCTTTGTAAAGGTAGGATTTTTCTTTTTATGCATGTGTACTGCATGTTATATGTGTATTTAACAGCAAGAGAGGGGGGGAGTGAATAGTACATTTATAACGAAGAAAAGGTATAGGTACATGCAATAGTAAATGAGTTGTGGTTCAGTCTATCAACTTGATTTTTTTTATGCATCTATCCGTTTCCTTCATATTAATAAGTATGACTGTAAGTTTATATAGCCATACCATTTTTGTGAAGTAAAAGGTATTTGGTCTTTCGTTCTCAAGCAGAATGACTAGCTCATTTATTATTACATGAAGAAGGTAAGTGTATGTGTAGTATTTGTATATTAATCTAGATTAGTGTCATTAATTTCATCGATTCTTTCAGAACCAGTGATGGATTTATTTCAAGTCGTCACTCGACTCACTTACATACAGTGTTTAATTAAACGAAAGGAGGGGGGGGGGCTATAGTTCAGAAACTTTGGCGTTCCTTGTTAGCGCGCATTTTCACAAAAATAAAAAATGGGCTATTGTGGCCAGTTGTGGTTCGTCTCTACTGTGTCGCTAGGTATACTACACCTTTTCCAGATCTAGTTCAGAATTCGTCAACTTAATTTAAGAAAAGGTATAATGTATTTCAGATTAATCAGTTTCATTTAAGAAAATATGAAAAGCATTTCAGATTAATCAATTTTTTTTAATCGCAATTCAATTTCAGAACAGGTTAGAAGTATTTCCTAGATTATTTAATTGAATTTCAGAAAGTGTCAAATGTATTTGAGAAATGGTCAAATGTAAATAGGTACTTGCACATTGGAACTGAGAGACATGTCAGTGGGCCAATAATTAATCTATGTCATAATAATAATTTGTATTTTGTATAATTAAGTAACGAAACAAAACTATTTTGTAGTACCTACGCTTTCATAGTTTTGTTACACCCTTCCCCCCTTTACTGTAATTATTGTACATATATTTTTCTGAAAATGCATTTGACCTCATCTGAAATTCAATGAACTAATCCCAAATACTTTTGCAATGTTCTGAAATACAAATGACGTATTCTGAACTACAGCTGAAAAAGGTGTAGATCCTTAAGAGTCTTCTGTACCCACTGCACCCAATGTAAATTTCCATAAGAGCGCCCGCCATAAAAACTCTAGTTGTTTTTCAAAAAACAATTTTTTTTAAGAACTATTTTATAAATTTAGACCTTTATCTACAAAATGTTCGGACTATATTTTTTTTTAAGTTTATAGCAACTGAATACCGATTGTTTAAAGATTAGATGTTTCGCACCGATTATTGCGCTGATCTGTTTTATTTTTTTACTCTCGATCAAGACGATTTATGGAAAAAGTAAACCGACAGTTTTTTAGATAAGTTACTTCTAAACATGACCCCAAAAATTGAAATCATAATTTTTGTAAATAAAGTCTGTATCTTAGCGGGCGTTAAATCAACAATTTGAGTGTAACAAGTGGCGCCGGTGCACAGTGTCGGTGGGAACTGACTAAGGACCAACACAGGAGTTGACAAAGCAAGAATATCATCTTATCTCTTCCAGCTATAATCATCTATACACTATAATGTAAAAAAGTTGCGCTTAGGTAAAGAAGACTCTTAACTCAATAACTGTTGTTCTACAAGAGAGTTATAAAAATCCCATTTTTCTCATGTACCATCATTTTACACTTTTGTCGTTTATTGCCGGTCGCGTTTATTAAGTCGGTAATGCCATGGAATTATGAAGTCAAACAAAATCGCCTGCATTTGCCATTAGTTTATTACCTATAGGTAGGAGCTATATGTTTGATCTCAAACTGCCATGGTACGGAATGTTCTTAAAAGCGCCAGTTTTTAGTTATCAAATTTCTTGGTTTCAAAGTTCAAAAAATTCCAAGCTATAATATGAATGGATTCGTAATTTTATTCTGTACAAAAAACCTAAATAGAACTTTATTTCTAAAATAATTAGGGAAGTCAATAATCAGAAATGAAAAAAATACTATTGAAATTCCCATGGTGCGTTATTGTTCAAGTCACCACCCGGTATACGTATTATGTTCTAAGAATATTCAGAATCAATGGAGAATATTCTTTCAAGTTTATTCTCAGGTGTATTTATCGCTATTTTATCAAAAATTCGGCAATAAATCCACTTACCAAAATCATGTTAAGCCATGACTAGTAAGACAAAAAGCAGTTTCAAACGTCAAAATAAATATCAGTTTATGACAACTGGCATTAATTTTTTGTAAAATGCTGTTCACTGAGGAAAAAGTATTTATAATAAACAACGTTTACAGCGGAAATATTTACTCTAGTACGTGATATTTGTTTTCCGTGCATTTTAATGCGCTTCCCATTCCGTCTGTGTGAAAACCTATTTCAATTCTTTAGGAAATTTTCATGGCTTAACATGATTTTGCTAATTGGATTTATTGCCGAAATTTTGATAAAATAATGAGAAATACACCTGAAAATAAACTAATTCGTATATCATTAGATGAGAAAAAAATCTTCTTTTGATTGGTATCATTATAAATCTTATCTAAGTTAACATATGGGGTGCAACGATCTGCAAAAAACGTTTTTCCCATGATGTTAATTGCCTATGTTCGGTTTTAAAATATTCAGCCGGTATATATTTAATACATGTTCAAACCTTTTTGAATATTCTTGGTATATTATCCGGGTGGCAGTTGGGGAGGGGCAGGGTAAAATCTTTGTGCATAACTGTAGCTCCCGGCCCCCTTCGTTTTGATCCAGCATCTAGATACTGTATGCTAGTGTTTATGGTTCCTCGACAACTCCTGTAATCGATCTACCTTTGACCCCATTTAACAATCGCATGGATACGGTTCACGCGAATGAGGTGAGTGTGGCACCGTTTTTAAATAAACTGGTTTGGATTTTGAGTTTTTGAATTTTTTTAAATTACATATTTTCCAAATAAATCAGACAAAAAAAATAACTACTAATTATACCATATAACGATCAGCCAATTCCATTTTAACTTCTATTTTTTTGTTTTTTTTTTTCAGTTGTTGGTAATGGAGTTCTGGTTGAACCCATGCCAGTAGCCCATCGTCGTGAATCCCGTTCTTCTCAGTCGAGACCGCATTAATAAGGCTAAAAAGGTAAATTTTCATTTTTTAGTTGCATAGATATAAACGTAATAACCAAATGCTTCCTTCTACATCTTGTTTGCCAATCAAATGTAGTGGATCTCAGAAGAGACTTCTAAAATGTTTATTGCAAGCCCTTTTTCAATATTTTTTGGAGTAAGTCTAAGCATTCCTTCTAAAGGAAACAGATCCCTACCAAAAATGGATTGTTTTATTCATGATATGGTGTAGGTAAGGGTTCAAATAGTATATTATATACCAAGGGAGTAAAGTGTGTGTGAAACATAGTGAAGGGATCCAGCCCCTGAGCGATTAGGGCGCACTTTAATCCTGATGTGGTATATGCTACTTTTTGTACTCCTGGTAATGAGCTACTAATTTCAATGTCAAAAGTCCAAATTGGAAAATCAATTTACCTTGTCATGTGAAATTATGACGGTATAGGTATATAAGATGTCATAACGATTAATTCTAATTCAAAATTTAATTTCTTTTGTCCCTTAGCATAAAAATGTTATTAATTTTAAATACATATATCTTTTGCCACATGTTTTATCATTAATTTATTTTGTTTCAGATTCGAGAAGAGCAGCCTTATAAAGGTAAGATTTTTTCTTTTTTATGCATGCATGGGGGAAAAGTGAAGTGCTTAGTGACAGTGCATATAGATGTATATGAATCAGTATGACTATGATTTCATGGCCATATTTTTTTTTATAAAACGCGCCGATTTTTTTGCGAATCCGACTTTGAACAAATATTTGGTGTCAATTTCTTCGTCTCCAAGATGATGGAATTCGGTTTCTAAAGGACGGTGGTTATTGATTCACAATGGTTGTGTGTACAGGGCGAGTCCGCCCAGGCTCTATATCTTTTATCCTGGGTAAAGTAAAAGTCAAGTCAATATTAGATTTACTATGAAAAAATTAAAAGATTAGTGGAATGCCCCATATATTTTTCTGTGATGCGTTGGCTCCTCTAAAAACTTCCAACTTTTGGTAATAATTTTCTATACCTTTCTCTAGATGTTTTTCGAAATATTTTGGTTTTCCTGGTTTTTGTATTCTAATCTCAAATGAGTTATGACAGTAAGCAATTCATGAACATACATACCATTTTTTTGTAACCCAAAAAAATCAGTTTCTTCTCAATAAATGTGTGAAAATATGTTCTTGTTCGACACAGGTTTCAAGTCTTTTAATACTATTTTCCCGCATATTGGATAACATGACTGACTTTCGACATACATCCCTAATCCTATTATATCTCATGTCCTGCCTTGGTATTGTGGCGTATACCACCGAAATGACTATTTTGCAATTGCATCATGTCACACACCTCACATTTTTTTCTCAACATTCGATAAGTGTGATAACTATCAACAATTGTTTTAACCTTCAGAAAACTGATAAAAAAATCACTACAAATATTAAGTCATGCGGTTTCTTTAATCTCACCACCCACATATTCAAAGCTTTTCCAATGGTTACATGCCGTACAAGAAGAGTTTTACGCTTAAAGTTGCAAATATAATATTAACTTTTATTTCTTTTAAATATCGATAAATTGGAATTGGAAACATTTAAACTTACTGTACCCATTTAAAAAGAGATACATAAGAAAATATGTATCTCTTAAACGAAAATTATTACAAATAGATTGGGAAAATATTTTATTCAAAGTTACATTTTCACAAAACGAAAAAAGGTTATGTAAAAGATGAAAAATAGTGTACATCTAAGCACCAGACGCTGGATATCACATTCTGATATTGACATATATACTTATTTTTTCCTAAATAACTAAATTTATTTGAAATCAAACATACTATGGTGTTTGATGCCTTAAAATTAATTTTCAGATCCGGAATCTAAATTTGCTTTCGCTTTACGAAGTACCTGACTTGTTTTGTGAATTTGCTTGCAAATTGATTTTTCAACTTCTTTCTTCTGTTTATTAGCCAGCGTTAATCTAGTTAATGTCTCGTCTAAAGTACGCTTTGTCCTCAGCAATCGTTTGCGAAGTGTAACATTTTCATTTGAAATCCGTTCCATTTGTTCATTGCAACTTTGACTTTCTAAAAACAAAAGAAGTAAAAAAAAAACCGTTTGTGAATTGTGCAAACAATAATTGTAGTCTACTGATGGTAGTTGTAGCTATTCTCTGCAAAGATGCATTGAGTAGTTTTTATCAACATCCATTACGTTGTGCAACAAGCACTGAATTTGCAAAGGCAAATTACCACAGACTACAATTTTCCAAATGCAATGCTGTTCAACAAACAACAATTTGTAAAATCCGCACGTTTGTGTGAACTCGTTGAGAAACAATTTTGGTCGAATCTAAATACTGTTTAGTTCATACAGCTCTATTGATTATGAATAAGATTGGGTTAGTCACTTTTGGAAATATAATAGTCACACCGTGCGAATGCTTTTCAGAGAATGCTACTACCGAAACCGAAAATAATATTGCAGAGTAGTGATCACAGTTCAGATACAACCATGGAAATTATTACTTGTACCGTTTTACGTTTCTTTAACACGGAAATAATCACCATGATTATACCGGGTGGTGTCTAGCGCGACGCAGCATAGGGATTTCAATGTGTAATTTCTTTATAGCCAATTACTAGCTCCCTTGATTATTTTAGAGCAAAAGTCTAAATACGTTTTTTTTAGAGAAAAAAATACTGCATCTGTTCATACTTTTAGTTATAATTTTCCATTTTTCAAAACCGTAGAAATCGACAAAATAAAAAATTACATTTTTATAAATCAGTGATGCTTTGAAATAACAAATGACAAACGCATCGCATCTAAGTTATTGTTGTTTGACGTCGAACGATTTTCATTTTTAATTCTGTTTCAACTATCCGACGCAAGAAAAAGGGTCTATGGGGTAAGGTTTTTTTAGAGAATGTAATGCTACATCTGGATCAGATACAATTTGTTTATCATTTTCCGGAACCAGAGTACATAATCGAAGAAAAGAAATTGATTTGAGGAAGAATTGTTCTTAAACTTATATTCGGATTTTCCGCTACTGCAGCCAAAATGTTGAATGTATTGTCGTTTTCCTGATGGTTTTGACAAACATTTTGAACGTTATTGCACTTGCAGTGATTTAACACTGTTCCTGTTCTTTGAAACTTGCGCACAACTCCGTCTTCTGTGGTACTGCTTGGAATCGGTCGATTGGGGTACTTCACACAAAATAAAGACGTTACTTGGCGGGCATAAAACAACTTTAACATTTCCTCTTTCTCTTACCATTGAAATCCCTATACTGCGTCGCGCTAGGCACCACCCTGTATGTTCTACTATAAGAAAAATGATCCAACTTACTGCAGATGTTGTTTTCCACTGAATTCAATAAATTATTCACAGTTTGTGCTATCCGAAGCGAGGGTAACAGCGGTCTCTGTACACCAGCGTTATTTTCCAAACTTGACAAACGTCCTTGGTCACTCTCGATACCCAAATCGGGCGAAGAACTCGCTTGCAAGCGATCATTATCGTCGACAATCTCTAGATCATTATGTACACTGAGCGACCGATAATCTTCAGAATCTCCTTGAATTTCTTCCAATGTGTAATCCGAATGATCGGATATTTGGCGTTTATATAAATTTAGATTGCTAGGCAAAGATGATGAAAGTGTGTACTTTAAAATTCGCCCTTTATTTACGTTTTTTAGTTGCGATTCAAGAAGTAAGTTTTTCCGTTCTAAGTTAGAAATGCAAATCTGTGATGCAAATAAATTCCTTTCGCTCGCCTCTACTATTTTAGATTCTAGAATGACACTTTCGTTTTTTAATTTTGCTTTTTCCAGTACTAATTCGGAATTTTTGAGAGTAACATCGTCAAGTTGTTTAAGCAAATGATCAATCTTTTCTTCCAACGAGAGTATTTTTGAACGACTGTCTCGATTAGCGATTTGTAATTGCTCGGCGTGATTAGTTAGTTTTATATTATCTTTTTGAGTTTGTTGAAGCTCGTTACCGACAATGGCCTCTTTATCGTACAGGTTTTTTAGTGCAATAGTTTGCTGTTGTAGTTTACAATTCAGGTTATTTAATTCATTGGAATATCTCTGTTGGCAGTTTTCTAATTTGCATTGAGTGTGTTGCAGTTTTGCTTCAGTCTGCTCAAGATGCTTCGCGGTTTCTAGCAATTTTATTTCTAAATCTTCAGCCTTTTGTGCCGCCTTAGTTTTTTCAATTTCCATTTCATTTAACATATTTTGCATATGTTTAGTCTTGGTATCATACGATAGGTGTACGGTGCGTTTAAGTTCTTCTAAAGATTCTATTGTAACTTTTAACTGACTCAATTGTTGTTCCGCATGAAACTTTTCTACTTTGGTCTTCTCCAATTCGGAATTGGTGTTTTGAATTTGTAATAGTAATTTAGAAAGTTGTGCTTTGAGGTTCTCGACATCACATTGGCTAATTTCATACTGCTTGCTAATATCCAGCAACTTATCCTGTTCGTAACCTAATGATTTCTCAAGTTCGTTATAAGCCAACTAAAAAAAATAATTTAACAAACTGAGATGTAAAATAAATACAGTGTGTCCCAGATCGCGTGGGATTGCATGGGTAACTTTGTTATTATTAAAGATAGAGAATTGGTTAAATGGGCAATGTTTTACAGTTTGGGATGCTTATTTAAAATTTCCTTATGGAAATTCAAAATGTCGCATAGGTTCGACGTAAATTCAAAAAAACTAAAATTGGTCATTTCCTTGAATGTCTTATATCATCGAAAGTATAAGAGATATAAAAAAAAGTTTTATATAAAAGTTACTGTCTTTGATACGCTTAATTTAGAATTGATGTCAAAAAAAAATTTAAGATGGCCACTTTTGAGGAACATTTACCAACTTCCTAAAGTTAAATGGGTTCCATATTGGATTTTTATATTACTTGATAGATTTTTTAATTCTCTTTTCAACGAGCCATCATAACATAAGATTCAAAATAAGATACCAGTTATATTAACGGTTTTTGTATTTTAATCAAGTAGTCTGTGACGAATAAAAAAAAACAAAACAAAATCTATTCGAGGCAACAAAACAATGAAAACAATTACACCAAAATACTGGCCATTATTAGTTAAATTCACTTCAAGACAGGTTAGTTTAGGCAACGTGTTGCCATTGATGATTATTATTATTATTGTAGTGGTAGCTACTTTCACTTTACTTTTATTTTTTAATTAAGTACTTACTTTTATAATTTAATGTACTGTACATAATTCGTGAATTGTGACCTGAGCAGCTAGTTTGTTGGTAGGTAGCATAAACTAACCCTTCCTTCGAAACATACGTTGTCGAGAAAAATCCTTTAAGGAAGTTTATTGGAGAATTTGTAAATCATGGTGAGCAGTTAAAAATCCAACGAAGATTACCGGTCCAATTACATGAATTCCCATTATGCCATAAAATACATTAATTTAAAAAAATATTACTTGATTTCGGCGTAAAACTACAACATGTAGGTTTTCCTGTGACGAATATAGTGTTCATTATGTCAATTTGAACACTCTGCAGTTAGAAAAATAAGATTCATCTGTCCATATACTCGGACTGGTAAAACTGTTAGTTTCGATATTCTTGCGGATAAACCGCCTACTGACCTACAAAATATGACCTGGGACAATGCATCAATGGTAATACATTGTGTAAAATAAAGCAAAGTATCTTGAAATGTGTTTTTCCGGATAATGCCATGACATTTTTTCGAGGGGATAGTTTGTAAGTTATACCACCATTTGTAGGTATGTAAGTATGAATAACAAGATAGCAATAAGTGATGTTATAAAAATCAAAATTTTTCTAGGCCTACTTATATAAAATTTTGGAGGGAGTTGTAATGCCCAAACCCCCCTCTCATGAGTGCGCCCCTGATTTTTTAAACATCTGATGTAATTATTTTCATTGTTTTGCTGGCTCGAATAGATTTTGTTTTGTTTTTTTTTAATTCATCACAGCCTACTTGATTAAAATATAAAAACCGTTCATATAACTGGTATCTTATTTTCAATCTTATGTTATGATGGCTCGTTGAAAAGAGAATTAAAAAATCTATCAAGTAATCTAAAAATCCCATATAGCGCCTATTTAACTTTAGGAAGTAAATGTTCCTCAAAAGTGATCATCTTGAATTTTTTTTTGACATCAATTCTAAATCAAGCGTATCAAAGACAGTCACTTTTATATAAAACTTTTTTTTATATCTCTTGTACTTTCGATGATATAAGACATTCAAGGAAATGACCAATTTTAGTTTTTTTCAATTTACGTCGAACCTATGCGACATTTTGAATTTCCATAAGGAAATTTTAAATAAGCATCCAAAACTGCAAAACATTGCCCATTTAACCAATTCTCTATCTTTAATAATAACAAAGTTAACCATGCAATCCCACGCGATTTGGGACACACTGTATACTAACCTGAACGTTGTTCAACCGTTCTTCACTTTTCGTCAGTTTCATTTCAAGTTCCAAAATTTGTTCTTGCAATAACATAATAGTCTGCTTATTTTCTACTAAAGTGGTTCTTTTGGACGGTGTTTTATTGGTTGAGCTAATATTTCCACATTTCAAGCTATCACCTTGTAAACCAATTCGTGCCAATGACACACTACGATCAGGCTCGGACCATGATTCTGACTCCGACTGATTATCTAACTGTTGCATTCTTAATGATTGAGAAGTCTCCGGTTTCAGTTTATCCAGTTTAGAATCTCTCGATTCCATTTGTTGTAAATTTGCAATTTGTTCACGTAAGACGATAACTAAGTCCCTTTCATTATTGATGCTAGTTAAATGATTGTGATAAGTTAAAGTGACATCTGAAGGCACAATGCTGAGTACAGAATTATCATCTTCAAATGAATGAATAACACTGTCAGTGCGTGTTGAATTCAATAAATTGGTAATATTGCATAACTGTTGTAAACTTTGATCGACGTCAATTAAAATACTGCTAGATAATGTTTGCGAAAGTTCTAAACTTTTGTTAATTGCCTCGTGCAACCTCTGCGTTTGTTGATGGCCTAAAAAACCCAGTATCGATTTATGTTGAAGAAGCGACTGTAAAAAATGACAGAGTTCTTCCAGACGATTATTCAAAATACAACACATTTCTTGACAATCTCTCCTCATCTTTTCAGATTTCTCTAATTGCAAAAGTAAATGGTGATCCTTTTCTTTGTGGTATTCAATTTCATCCGACGAGGCCAATTCTAAAGGAATATTTATGTGAATCCCAAGTTCGTTAATTCGTTGCTTAAGTATTTTCAATTGCAGTTCTGTATTATTGTTTGTTTTCTCAATTTTACTCAATGCTTCCTCTTTTCCCTTAATAATTGTTTGCAATTTCTCAATTGTCCTATTTTTCTCCCACAATTCTTTATTAACAATTCCCTGTAGATCGCCGGTGCGTTTACGCAATTCGCCTTCCAGTTTTTGGATAACCTCATCCTTTTCTTCGAGTAACTTTTCCTTTGACATGTCTTGTTTTTCATCGTTCGACTCATTTTCATTAATACCCTCCACTTGTGCCAACAATTCGAATTCAAGGTCGATAATAGAATTCGCCTTTTCCTGTATCTCCAAATTAAGCAGCCCAATGTGGCTATCTTTATGTTGCAGTGTCGCGTGTAATACCTGCAAATGTATAACCATTATCGAAATGTAAAACTGTAATTCAAAAAGTACCTCAATCTTTTTCTCGAGCTCGTCAACGAGGATTTTATACTGCGTGGTAAGATCAGCATGGTCTTCGGTTATCGCTTTCTATCAACACCATAATTATTAAAATAAGTAGCTCAAGTAACACAAAAACAGTAAACAAAGACAAAAGCAAACTTGTGCCCCCTTTATTAATAATATAAGAAATTAATGAATGAAGGTATTTTATTCTATAACAAATTTCATTTTGTGTTAGCCTTATGTGTGTTTTGCAAATTGCGAACGTAAGGTGTTTTATGGCCATTCAATGCAAAAATCCAAAACTGAAAATGATGTAACTATTAATTCAAGCTCGGTCGTGTGCTTTTACCGCATGATGGTGTATGCAAGGTCAGATTTTCTATGTCTTTTTTTTTCGATTCACTAAACCACATCAGCAACGTTTACAGTGTGATAAATAGTTTAGTCACCTTACCTTCGCCACCATGCTCTACGCTACTTCTAAAAAAAACTTAACAAATAAAAGCAGCTAAAAAATACAGATCAAAGAGAAACAGTGCTTAATAGTCTCTTTGAGAGCCAAAACAGAACTATAAATTCAAAAAATAGAAGCCACCTCATATATTAATACAAAAAGCGCTTATTATAATATTTTAATCGTGCACAATGGAGTAGGTCTAATACCATCAGCAATCTTAAATTTGACAAAGTATTGAAACATGGGGGCCACATTCGTTGAATACAATTACATGCAGAAACACATCGGCAAAGTACAAGCAAAACATTGTTAGTAAGCAGTTATTATGCACAACCCAATAAATTACTAGCAGCTACGCTATTTTTCAAATATGTTGAATACCTCCTCAATAGAAGAAGATGGATGCCAGCCCGCAGTCAGATTTAATTCCGATACTTTATCTTTAATGGATTTTTTATTCGATTCGAACTGCGTATTATTTGTCATGTCACATATTTTCTTCTTTAGAGACTGAATTTCATCTGCCCCTTCTTGAACCATTTTTTGCAGCTTTTCGATTTGATCAACGTAATCCTTCTTTTTATGTATCATTGTTTTAATTATTTTACACGCTTTAAAGTGATTCTTTTTTAATTCAGTGACCTCCTCTGGAATCAATTGTCCGGTAGCGTTTAAGGGACCACATTCGTTATTTGATTTTGATGGTGATTGATCTACTTCACTCCTTACTAAAATAGAGCAATTAAAATCTTCTTACAGAAGTTCCACACATTTTACTTTTCTTACCTATCAAACTGTCGTATAAATTCTGAATGTCTTTTAATTGAAGTTTTACATCATGTAGCTCTGAATTTTTTTGAGTAGAAGATCTCCTCAATGAATCGATAATGGATGACTTTTTCGACAATTCTTCTTTAAGTGCATCAACTGGCTGTAAAAGACACTAGAATGCACCTAGTTGAAAACAGCAATCATAAACAGCACTGTAATGTGAAAATGCCAACGATTTATCTGGCATCATCTTGTCTAACAAATAATTTTATCAGATACTTTTAAATCATCTTCATTTTTCAAAATTAAATAGTACACTCTTTACATGGTACAGGTAAAATCTCGCGTAGAAATTTACAACGTCCGAAAGTCTAGATTTATAAAAAACGCCACACCAGAATTTAGAAAAAGTTTCAAGCTCTCGGCTGATGCGCCATAAATGACAACTGTGGCTGCAAACATATAATTGAAAACATTAGTGTACGCATAAAGCAATACAACTTAATGCTAAACTTAACGCAGTATTTGTGTTATTATACAGGGTGGTGACTTGCGTAACGCATCATAGGGATTTCAATGTAAAATTCATAATATGCGATTATTGGCTCCTCAAATTATTTTAGAGCAAAAATGAATTAAGGTTTTTTGTAGAAAAATTTTTTTTACGTCAATCAACCATAGTAGTTTTCAATTTTTTGCATAATAAAGACGGAAAATTGGAAAAATAAAACCCCCATCTTTTTTTAATAATCTGTGATGCCATGGAATTTTATAATACAAAAACTACGCCAATATCCGACATGCCATGGAATGTCTGCTATAAAACAAATGAAATTCTATCAAAAAGTATTATATTTAGAACAGCGAATTCAACATAAAGAAAGACCAAATTACTAAAATCGGTTTCCTAATATAACAATTTACAATAAATGTTCGAATACTGCAATACAGTAACCAAGTCGATCATAAAATCCATTTCGAACTGCTGCTAATTGATAATTTGATATCTTTTTGTTTTAGAAAATTCCATGGCATCGCAGATTATTGAATGCGGGTTTTAATTTTCCAATTTTCCGTCTTATATGAAAAATATTGAAAACTAATACGGTTGATTGGCGTAAAAAAATGTTTCTACAAAAAACTTTAATACATTTTTGCTCTAAAATAATTTTGGGAGCCAATAATCGCATGTTATGAATTTTACATTGAAATCCCTATGTTGCATTACGCAAGTAACCACCCTGTATAGCCAGCTGAAAGCATTTCAATCATAATTTTCATTGAGATTAATATAATTATACTTTATTCATACGAGTGCAGATTATGATGGTAGTATTCGAAACAATTTGATTCTTTTATCATGCATTATATACTTACAGCAATTTGCAATTCTAAATGCTTCCATTTTGTTTGTGCATTGTCAGCTATACTGCGCAACTGATCGGCTTCTTCTCGTGTCTGCTTCAACTGTAGTTAAAAGAAAATAAAATTGATAATCGGGAACGGTTTTTAACATTTTTGTATATTCGGCCTAATAACCTGATGCCCCTACAGTCAAATCAACCAATTCGAAACAGCTGTTGTTTGAAACAAATTCAAGTAAACCAACATGAACCATGCTGATGTAAAATTGGCAACGTTGCTAATTGGAAATTTTTTTACAAATAGCTAGAGATAAGCACAACTAAATGAGACTTGCCCTATTGGTGTAGATTTTTACATGCCCTCTTATTCACCATTTTTTGAAAATTCACAAATTTTGTGTTTATACACAAAAAATTAGTTGATCCTGATTCAAAATTTATTGTATTGTGCCAAAGAAAGAAATCTTCATCCCCGAAAATTAATCGTGATAACCCCTCGGGTATAGCGTAGCTCTTTATGGCCTTGAAAATGTTTTTGTAGTCTAACTTGGGTTTGAGAATGTTTTATTTATTTAAGCTGTGCCGATATTTGTTTTTAACTGCATAATTTATTAAAGAAAACAAACCTCATTTTGAAGATCAATTATTGTTGCTTGAAGTTTTTTAATCATTTCTGGAGAAGTAGTACGTTGAGCATCTAAGTTAAAAGCTTCAGTCCAAAGCTCTTCACGAGTATTATCCTTTTCATCCTAAAAAATAATTTTTATGTATTAAATTACCATAAAAAAATAAACGGCTGAACATCTGGTTAACAAAACAAGGTCATTTTACGAAAAGTTGCGAAATATGCAGCACGCTGGTCCGCTATTCTTGCAGCAAAATACGAAAACGGTCGTATTTTTTTCCCTATTTTTTGCCGTGTCTTGTCCGCTTAGGCTAGCTCGAAAATTTACATAAACCTCTCGCCAGGAAAAATTGCCGGTCACAGAACACTTGATCCCGGTTTACAATCTATGTTTTTCTAAAGATGCGAGCGACTGAATATCCCACAAAAACTCTGTGACGGCTTATGTCTACTTTAAACCGTTTACTTACTATTCATAAACAGGTTAAAGATAGGAACATGCCATTAATTCAAAGAAAATTGATGAATAAGATTCAAACAAATGTTAAATAAGTACCTACTATAAACAATATTAACAACTGTACAAATTCCTCTAAGTTAACACCCACATACAAATTACAAATTAATACTTTAATATTCCTGTTATTACCTTTTCTAATTGAAATCTCATTTCTTCGATCCTTTCTTTTAAACAGCATAATTCCCGATTTTTTTCGCTTATTTCCTTCTTATGCTCCTCATCCTCAATTTCCATAACTTTGGCTGCTTGACAAAGAAGTTCTTGCTTGCTTTCCAATTCTTTTTGTACATTTGCGAGCTCAAACTATCAAAAATCAACAGAGACACATGGTTATTTCAGTATCTAACAGCGTATTTAAACTCAAACATTCTTAAGGCAGCACTAAACTTGATAAATCACACAACAATCACTCTATTTTAATGTATGTATACCTGCAATTCAATATTTTTTTGAATGACGTCTTCATTATCCACATTCAAATTGGAACCCATTCGTTCTTCGATAAAGTACAGCCTAAGTTTTAGATTAAAATTTTCCTTCTTTAGGGACGAAAGCTGTTCATCTATTTCTTTCACAGTTCGGCCACTTGTTAAATCACTAGGAGATTTTGGTGCAAAACCTAAAAAAAAAATAAGAATGTTACACACTGTGTATATAAAACAAAACCTTCAATTTCGGAATCGCTCCAATATATGTCGAGGGAGTGCACAGATTCCGTGGAAGAATTACTGCTCATTCTTACAAAAATTAAATTTTGAATCTGTAGTTCCGAACTGATAAATATGTTTTTAATGACAGAATGATTGCAGGTATCTGGATACAAATAGCGATTTTATTTGTATCGACAATTAGGTATTGTGCCTGAATTTAGGGTCGCCTAGCAATAATCTGTAGATACAAAACTTAGACCATACAGTATCTGAACTGCAGCAGCGCTATGCTTTCCATACAAAATGGGTGGTCACGGATAGGGGCACTGTTAGTCATGGGTATGCGATTCTCAGGATAAACTAAAGTCATGTAAACACCACTCGGATCGCGTAAAGAGCAGCTTCTATAACAACCGAGTAACACGGGATGCTTTAAATGCTCTTCATTATTTTCTATACGTTTTGCGTAGTGGCGATATTATAACTGATGTGCAACTATTGCTAGTTGCTAGTTGACAAATAAGAATTGGATTGTTTTTATGGCATTTCTAGGCGATTAATTAATTGACGTTTATTAATTTTAACTTTGACACTCTTAAATCAGGTCTCATGGGACAACCTTGGACAGACTCATTTTATCCTGAAACTTACATGCCCATGATCATATTTTAGTTGCAATTAGCAGTCCAACTGTATGGTCTAATTGACGCAAAAACATTGCATAAAAAAGATGCGTCCATTTCCATTCAATCACTAATTTCTTAGCCATGACGATCCCAAATTTGTGTACCTATTAATTTACTGTAACAATTTCATATAACTTCATCATAAGTATTATCTATCAAGTACCTAAACTGCACTAATATAGACAACGAGATAGACAACTAGTGACAGTTGAAGAGTATTGACCAAAATTTAATCAGTTAGTGAGTTAGTCCCTTGGGTATTGTTTGCGTATTACTTAAAACAAAATTGGAAAATTCGAAACCGTTTTTTGGAAGTTTGTTTAAGCCTAAATCGGAGCCTACATCTTGCAAATAACGGGTCTATGGTGAGTTCATTGCATCTGGTTAAAGACACTTACATGAAAAATCTCTTGAAAGATTTGTTGCATCTGGATCTAAAGTTACTTCTTGCAGTTGACTTGGACTGACACTGCAATCAAGAAAAAATCAATTACAAAAATGTTATGCGTGAAAAACTGAAAAATCAGCCTAAAGTGAAAATCAGTTTGTCTTATCTTACTTTCAGAATTACCTACACCAAGGGATATTCAATTTTCTGTAAATCAGTGCTTTTTGCGATATAAAACCAGAGGTGCCAAATTCTTGACAGAACAGGCTCCTAGCTCAAACCAGATATTAAAAAAAAAGCATTTTTGACCGTCTTACATCCTATAAACGTTTTGGCGAAAAAATGTTGACATTTTCTTACTCCGTTTTTTTTAAAAATAAACCCTAGCATAACTTTTGAAGGTTGTACATAGAAAAAGAAAGCCTTTTGTATAATTTAATAAAAGTCTTGCGTTGCTATTTTAGAACGAGATGTTTCAGTACCTCGGCGATATCGTAAAGAAAATAGTTGATTCCCCGCAGTTGTAGCGTTTATGTTGTTGAGAACGGTGGCTCACGTCTACCTACCTAATGGGCCGCTGTTGGGAATGTGCCACAAGGAAACTTTTGTTGAACTCTTACAGAATTGAATGTAATTTGGAAGTTACATCATAAACAATTATTAATTACAGTAAATTTTTTACGAGATTTTTTATTAGTACATAATTGAAAATTGGTTTGTTTTGTGCATCTTTTTCTTAACTCGGGACTAACACGCATTTTCCCTTTGCGATCTTAACGCACTCAAGCATACAAAAACTGTTAAACGATTAAAAGAATGTCTAAATCCCAAATCGTGCTCCTCGGTGTGCTCTTTTTTTTTAAGATAAGATTCTGCAATTGTTTCCTTTAGAACACTGCATTTTTTTGGAAACAGCCATACCACGTTGAAATCACTGGATGACACAATGTAAAACAAAAACGCATGCATGCGCATGTCAGATGCAAATTAAAATAAAAAATAAAAATATGTAAAATTGTAAATATCTTGTTAAATTGAGTCGAGTTGGTTTTCGTCCGATCACCCAAGGAAACCAACGTCCGGTATGGTCAATAGTTGGATGGGTGACCGCTTAGGAACACTATAATTATGCCTTTTTTTTTTAAATTTTTGGTCATGTTAGTCCATTGATTTTAGATTTTATTTTAATGTAACCAGGCGACGTATAATTTTATGAATAATCCTAATTCCTAATTATAAATAATTTAGTTTTGCCGAAAAAAATATTTTAGTTTTTCACCTGACATTTTTTTGTAGTAAAACCTAGCACAATTTTTGTAGGTTGTACACAGAAAAGAAAGTCTTTCGAATAATGTAATAACAATTTTTTGTTACTATTGAAAAAAAAAATTCAATGCCGTTGCGGCGCTCCAAAATTTTTTTCCAAAAATCCGGCCCGTTATTTTTCGTTTCAGTATACGAGTATACATTACCGAAATTTGAACAAAATCCGTGGAGTCGGAAAATTGTCAACGTCCGCACATACGCACGGAAAAAAATTTCTTCTTTAAAAATTGCTCTAAAACGTCGACATTTATAAAATTTTAACATGTTCAAAAAATGGTGATCGCAACTTATAGGAAGCTAAAAAAATTTTCTAACAAGGCGGGTTTTCCCCCGCAGGGCCGGCTTTAGCCGTAAGCGTAAGCGCATCTGTGCTTGTAGATACTTACGTTATAATCTCAGTTATAATAATCAAAAATTTTTAAATGTGAAGCTCTATCTCTAAAACTCTGCTTGCCAAAAGTTCCCATTATTCAAGCTTTAACGCGACCCACAGGGGCGTTAATTTTAGTGCTTTCTTACAAGTAACTTTTGCTTTGAGCCGATCCTGATCTCCTCCGCTGCCTACTAGTGAGTCTTCTAAATTCGCTTAGATACAGGAAAATGTTCGAAATAAAGTGATGGCCACTGTCAGATTGATATGATTGTTTTTTTCCCTATTAGAAAGAGAGAGAACGTGTTTTTGTTTGTTAGATAATAAACCAACTATTTTAATAAGCTATAAGCACCTACCTAGGTAGACATTTGTTTAATTTAACATCAAATTTTTTAATTACAGTTACTTGATCGATTTTAATTTTGGGTATCATGAAATCAACTTAAATCAGACATCTTTTATTATTTTGAACATTTTCCAGTATTACATGCGAATTTAGATGTCACTAGTAGGCGGGGGACACCGCTCTAGTTCGAAAAACCAACATTGAAATGAACATAACTTTTGTTTGAAAATCAAGTTCAAAAAACTGTTTGACAATTTTGTTCTTTAAACTCATGAAGTACGTACACCACAAATTTCGTGGTATTCTTTCCATTTTAGTTGTTCGGTAAAGAATTCAGATCGTAATTTACATGTTCAAAAACCCTCAGATACCAAATTTGGTCGCGATCAGAATTTTTACACTCTCGTTTAGGGATGTGTTGCCCTAGAGGCAAAAATTTTAGAAACATTTTTACAAAATCGAAAAAGGCACACCTAAAAACCTATCAGGCCTTTAGTTCATGTGGAACAAATATTAGTTGTGGTTCCCTCTATCGCCCAATATTTCTCTCCATACTTATATGCACACCCTGTATACCACATTACCTCAGTAACAAAATATTACTTTCTCATTGTTTTAGACAAACAATCCGTTTTAAAAATCCCTCTTTGCTTCCTAGCTGGCAAACGCTCTATGCGAATATGTGTATTCAAACCTGGAAATGATAGCGTGTAGGTAAATTTTGCATACCAAATGAGCAAAAAAGCATTATTTTGTTCAAGAAATATGGAAAAATATTATTGAATGCCTATCAACATTTCCAGAAAACGGTATCATTCAATAATTTAACCAATGATGTGTTAATTAAGCGATTAACTCCTATGAACTTAAAGCGAATAGGCATAAATGCAGTAGGTACTAATTTGTAGTAGACACCTACTAACAGTCCTACATAGTTGAAAACATGCAGAAATTTGGTAATTACCAAAATGGACTATTAGCAGACGGTTGTATCAAAAGTTTTCTGGGTCGATTGGATGTGCTCAGAGAGTTCGTTAAGGCCATTGATATTTAATTGACTAATTTAAATAATTAAACAAGCGACGACGTATGTTTCCAACATCCAACAAACGCACAGTGCACCTATTCTATTATTATCACTAAACACACAACATGTCACAAATATAACAAATCACTTTAAATGAGGAAATCGCATTACGTCCTCTTTGGCGCTTATCATCAATTACTCATCATATCCATAACGCGGTCGGGAATACACGCGTATCTGCGTACTGTACTGTACTCTAATTACGATCGTAAATTAAAATAAGAAGCGGAGACGGAGGATATGCACCAATACGAAATGGGATGAAAACGAATTCTATCACTTTGGCACTTGCGCTGCTGTACCAAATCTCTTTCTCTATCGCACTCGTCCAATTATCTCACACGAATTTTATAACACAACCATTGGCATCGTTTCAAAATTTCTCTTTAGTTGAGCTTAATTGAAAACTCCGTGCCGCCACTTTTGAGACAGTATATGAGTATACCTACTCTCTGTTATCTCTGTATTTCCGTTACCGCGTTGTCGATTTTGTATTGTACCTATAGTTTATAAATTCAGCACCACGGTTTCAGTCTGAAACATAATACTATCTAAGAAATTCCTGTCATCAAAAATATTCGCATTTAATGAATGGAAAAATTTTCATTGACAGAGTCGTTAACCTTTCAATATTGCCATAAGCTTTGATATTGTGTTGGACATTATTCTGTATAATGTTCTTCTCTTGTTTTGAAACTTACTGTAATTTGCATATGACCAGTGTTTTTTGTTTACCTTCAGCATTAAAATAGTATTTTAGTTTTTACTGGTGCTAGAAGTTGTCTGGCGAGCCTGTCATTTTCTAGACAATCTAGACTAGAGAGAGCCAGTAAAATATTCTGAACTTTGTTTGTGCACAGATCATGCCCCTGCTCAAGAAGTTGATCCCCAAAAGCTAACATCTACATTCCCTAAGTCACGGTCTTCAAATTTGAGCTTTGTATGTCAAAGCGATTTTTAGCTATTGTGGCAAACGGCCGTACGACGTACGTTCGGACTTCTAAGACGTAGTAATTTTTTGTGGTCACAAATATCAAAGTGCCTATTAAGTACGCGAATAAGAGAGGTGTCTGCACTCGCACTCGCCTATAGTGCATTCAATTTATGGTCGATTTTATACTGGAATTTTGTGACAAAAATCACGATCGCTCTCAAATTTATTTTAAAACACAGTGAAAACCGAAATAGTTCCGCACGTGTTCTTTTGATGTATTCAAAAACTTTTTTGTGCAAATAGTAGGCCATATATAATTTTCCACAAAAAAACACATATACAAGAAAAAAATGAATTTTTATATCGAGGGAGGCCAATGTTTATGCCAAACTAATTCTTTGCAACTTTGACCCTCCCATAAATGTTTAAATGGGCAACTGACCCATAATTATTAGTGTCCGACAGAGAGAGAAATTTTGACCGAAGCTATGAATAGAAGAGAAAAGACCGAGTTCATTAATCAATGCAGAGCACTAGTTTTTCCGACCCACTTAGAAATCGGTTGTGGAGAGAATATTGTTTTAAACGTTTTTATTGAAATACAGGCATGGTCTTCGGCTTCGACCTTCAGTCGCTTCTCGAGTAAAAACCAAATTGATTGTATTTTTCGAAATTGCCTCCACTAACTTCCATATAATTTAGAAACTCACATCAGATTTCTCACGAAGTTATTCTCCGGTATTTATTGGTGATAATTCTTTGTCGTAGTTCTAGAAATTTTCGTTGAGACATCTTGAACCGTTTATAAATTATTACAATGGTATAACACAGGCGTCAACACGAAAGTACACTTACTAATTTAAATAGTTATTATCAATGACACCCAAAACATGATGTACCGCCATTGAGCAAAGCTTATATTATGATCTTTGCGTTGAGGAAGTTGTTAAGGTGTGTAATGGATTGCATTATAATAAGGTTTGCTTATTAGTTCCTTTAAGTTAACTCGAGACAGAAAGTGACACTACAATAATAGAATTTGCACTTTCTGTTGGTGTTTGGTAAATTGTAAATGGGTGCAGTTACAATAACACACACCAAAAGCTACCGAGATTCTGTTTACTTCAAGCAAACACACGGGCCAACCGACGAATGCTATGGAGTTCCTACAATTACCATAAACCATGTACCTAGTGTTTTTATTCGTCAATGTATAAACCTAGTAAGAAAGTGCACATTCTAATATAACCAGACATCCTGGTGGAGAGAAAATTAACATGTTAATATTGCAAAGTGAGGACAAACGTAGATCACCTTTAAGAAGTGCAGATTTTGAAAACTATAAGAGATCCCGATACATTGGTTATAGCATACGCTTTAATTTTATGATACTTCATACTAAAATATTCAAATTATTCAGTTCAATGTTAGGTCCTACCTATAGGGATATTCTTGAAATTTGTTTTTTGTGATTAAAACGTGTTGTGAAACAGTGACATTATACTTACGGCTCGGTTTCATTGAACGTAGTACTTTTACTTGCATTTCTTTCTGCCATGATTAATTAAAAAATAATAAAATCTCGTGCAGTCACTACCAATGAACAAAATCCGTTACACATCACACAACATTTCAAACGCAAAATTATAACGTATATTTGTTTATATTCAAAACGATGTGTCTCCACTACCTCACTTATGTGAGACACTCGAAAAATGTACATGCATTAGGGTGGGTTTACACTGTTTACAGCTCTCCGTTCATTCGGTACGTACAATGGTTGCGTTGGTAGTTGGAACCGGAACCGATTGCATTTTATAAGCCCTTCACTTGAAACCGGAACCGTTATTTGCTAATATAGGTAGCAAACTAAAAGTATCTAGAAAATTCTAGAGTGCATATCATACTTTCTGGAAAGTACACGTAAACTCGTGAACTCCGCTAATTGTTTACAAATATTCATGGTGTTTACGGTCTTCTCTGTATCCTTTTAAGGGGCGGCAGTACAGCTCAACAGGAGTCGACAAAAAATAAGCGAGTTAATATATTTGTTTTATTTTTTACATTAAACGATTAATCTGTGTAATATCTAGCAATCTTCTACTTAATCAGCATTATCCACTTAAATTATTTTTTACTACGGTGTTGTGGGGTATGTCAACTCCTTTTTAGATGTACTGCCGCCCCTTAAAAGGATACAGATAAGACCGTAAACACCCTCTATATAACCCCTGTTAAGTACATGCACTGAACTATAATTATACTGGAACGCGCGCTCTGTCGGCCAGAGCGATCCGAGAGAGAGGGCCATCAGGGGGATCTCCGTTCTACTCTCGCGCATACTAAGAGCAGCCAATTTGATTTGTTTTGAATTTATATTAATGATCAGTTTCCCAATGATTGATTTAATTATAATTCAGTGAGTACACACCATTCTGATTCGTCACAGGCGCTAGCGCCATCTCGTACCGCTTTTACAAACTGCACCAGCACCAAGTGACTGGCAACGCTGCCTCTCTGGGAATTTAAGCGCGAAATGAATACAAATTTGTAGGTTAATGTAACAACTGAATAAAAAGATGGATTTTATAGCAAGAAAAAAGTTTCAAAAAAAAGTGGAAAGTGATAACTTAATTGAGCTTTATCCAACTGATTTGCAATTTTATAATCTCCCTCCTGGAAACCAGATAACTTTGCAGGAATTTGAAGATTTAGCATTAGAACGATTGCAAGTGCTTAGAATTTTAGAGCAAGCAACACAAAGGGGTAACAAGTTATTTACACAATCGTGGTTCGATGTAGTGAAAAGTGATTTACGAAAGCAAAAACTTGTTCGATTCCATCACTTCTTAAACTTAAGTGGTGGCTGCAGCGTATTGGAGTCTCGCAGAGCGGATCATTTATCACATTTTATTCTTCGTCTCGCTTACTGCCGTTCTGAGGCTCTAAGGTCTTGGTTTTTAGCTCGAGAATTGGAATGGTTTAAGACTAAGTTTATTACGATTTTCAAGCAGAACCCAGATGATATACAAACCTTTTTCGCTTTAAATCATCTTACTTACAATGGTATTTCTAACGAAGAAAAACAAACACTGTTGACGAGCTTATTAAAATCCACAATCATGGCAGATGATGTCTCGGTTACAAATTTTTATAAAGTGCCATTCAACAGTGTGACCAGTTTGGTTAACGCTCGGAGGGTTTTTGTCAAAAATGGGCAGGCATATATTCCACAATTTGAATTGGTTACTTGCATTCAATCGATATTTAGAGCACGTCTAAGTGAAGCCCTAGCGGTAATTTTTTGTTTCGGCAATAAGTATTGTTTATATTCATTTTATATTTTCAGCAACTTAGTCATATCATTCCTAATGTAGACGATGAACGCTTAAACAATCTTCTTCAGAACTTGCATATAAGCTATACCGGTCAAGATTATAATGGGTTGCCTGATAATAAGAGTAACGTTAGAGCAGAATTTTTAGATTATTATTCGAAAAAGCAGTTTCCATTATGTATGCGCCACATACATCAAGTTCTTAGATCAACGCATCATCTGAAATACAGATGTCGTTTGCAATATGGTTTATTCCTTAAAGGTTTGGGCTTAAGTCTTGAAGAATGTTTGAAAGTGTGGCGTGATGAATTTACTAAGACTATGGATGAAAATACTTTTGAAAAAAAATATGCCTACGGCGTAAAACATCAGCATGGAAAAGTTGGCGGAATGGTGAATTATAAACCTTACAGTTGCATGACAATTATTATGGGGAATGTGGGGCCAGGAGAGCATCACGGATGTCCTTTCAAACATTTTGACGCTACTCAATTACGACAAAAGTTGGTGGAGGATGGGATTCCTGGAACAGGTTTATATAATTAAAATGCATTCATTACATTTAATACAAATTTTGTAGACACAGACGAAATCATGACGCTGGTCAAAGACGCTCACTACCAAATTGCGTGCACAAAATATTTTGAACTTACTCACCATAAACAAAGCAAATCGGTTATAAATCACCCGAATCAATATTTCGATGAAAGTGATGAAATATTAAATGTAAATTCTAAAAAACCAACGTAGGGCGCAGGCAGCTGCCACATTATTAATTTATCTTCTTTTGTTATGTGTGTACATGTACGTTCATGCCCATTAGAAATAAAGTTCTTCAAAGAATAATCATTGCACATCTAACATGACTTACTACATAGTGATACATTGGTTTATTAAGTCTTAGAACAGTGGCGGACTGACCCGGGGGGGCGGGTGGCGGTTGCCACCTGGCCTGTAGATCATAATGGCCCGTTGGAAATTTATAAGTATGTGCTGTATTTATAGTTTCTTGCACTATTAATAAGTTATTAACACGTTTCTCTAATTGGGGTTGATATTAGGTTGTTAAAAAATTCTGTTTTAATTGAAGTGTTTTGCAATGAATTTATCATTTTTTGTCGTAGTATTTTGAAAGTGCTGAAATACAATGATAGGCGACGCACCTCGTGTGGATTGTATATTTTGTTACTTTTAATTATCAGCTGCAATTTTAATAAAAACTGTATGGTAATTTTCTATAAGAAAACTTTTTTTCCGGGTCGATCTGAGACAATTTTTTCTTCGGGGCTCCTTTTTTACCAAAAATCGACTACACCAAAATTTCTCAGGAAAACACTTTTTGTTCTTAATTTGGGTGCGTAGAATCCAAATCAATTCGTACTTTTTCGATCAGACTTCTCAGTCAAAAGTTATAGACTAGAAACCAATTTCGAAAGAAAATTCAAAGGGCTGGCCCTTAAGTACCCAGTCCGCCCCTGTCTTAGAAGGCTACTTTTGCGACAAAAATTTGTGTGAACATAGCGCCCTTCATAATCCTAGCATTCAATTTATAATGGTTCTAGGGTTTCACCATATTCATTCACAACAAAATTAGGGTGCTAATTTCACAAAATAAATCAGAAAATCGGCAATGGGGACAATGTCTAGAGGACTGTACAGGTAAATAAGTTCCTTATATGCACATTACAATTTAGGTATTTATTATAGATACTATGTTGCTTAACAAACAAAAATACGCAGTTAAAGTAAGCTGATTAATGTTTTGTTTTGTGCTGCCCGATTTTGTATCTACTGCCCCCGCCGGTCCAATATAAGGTTCTAGCTTTGTTTTATTATAGTTGCTATAATACCAGCTCATGTCTTTATTTTTTGAAATCGACTTTAAAGATGCGCTTCCATCCAACCGCGATGTTTTTGGTTCTCGTGCGTTTGCAAATGTGATTTTTTCGTCTGATAATAGGGGAGACGTTCCCGAAATACGTGGCGATTGTACCTTTGTTATTGTCGATCTTCCGTGCGGACGGAAATGTGATTGGAGTTCGCCAAACGTGATCAAATTAGTTAAAGAAGTAGTGGCATTTTTAGTAGTTAGAGCGGTACTAACGGGCATTGTAATCGTTGTATATGTAGATGGCAGGGACACATTTTCAACAAACACTTTAAATATATCTTCAAAACGATTCATTGTAGGTGTACTATCGGTATTAGAGGCTGTCGACGTGGAGTCCTCATTTCCATTCCTAAGCACCAATTTGCCAAGCTCAGCTTGTGTAGTTTGTATTGTCTTATCTTCCGCCTTAGTGGTAGTATTTTGAGTTTCCTGGATTTGTTTGGATGGAACAGTTTTCTCTGTTGGTTTTGAGAGATGCACAGGCGCTTTTGTGTAAACACTCTCTGTCGTAGAAGTGGGTGTTTGTGATGATAAAGATACAATATTGATCACGGTTGAGCTACTTTTAATAGTATCATCCACAACATAATCCGACAAGGTGATTTCAGAGGTCGTTTCGATGCTCATATCCCGAGTTTCATTTAAATATTGTTTCTTTGTTTGTACATACTGTGGATTTATGATTGGGGTAAACCCTCCTGTTCCAGGGAGTAATGGTACAAAACCGCCTGATTCAATTTCGGGAATTGTCGGTGGATAGAAGTTACGGGCAGTATACGGTACTTTATTCACTATAGCTGATTTGCGTTCGGCTATTAGCGCGGATGGTAATTTTACTATTTCCGCTTTTCGGCCATTTCCCCTACTCCAAAGATTATTTAAATTTAGATTGAGGCTAGGTAAAGGTACGCCGAAGAATGTAAAACCGCTGTTACTGGGAGCTGTAGATGTGATCTTGTTAACATTTTGAGTAACTGGGGGATGAATTTTGCTTTTGTTTTTTGAAGAGGCTGCGTATATTGTAGGAGTGTCTCCCGATATATAGTGAGATGACTGTGATGTTTCGGTCGTCTCATTGTTAATGTTGACCATTAGGCTTGTTTCGTTATATGGATAATCAATAAAATCTTCGTAGAAATCGTCAGATTCTTCTGGAGAAGGACGCTGCTGATTTTCTTGTGAATAAGGTGGAGGCGGTAACAGATGCGCGTTGTATAAGAATTCGGTTGCACATTCCGGTGAAATCACTTCCGGCTGTCTGTTTTCGCGATCGCAGTCTTGATACGATAAACGCATTTCTCTTAATAGACTTCCGTCGTTGCATTTTGGGCCTAGTATTGACGATTCTTCTAACCACGCCTTAAACCATAGGATGTGACAGGTACATGCCAATGGATTTCCTGAAATAACACTTGTTAGTAAACGCATAGAGGATGTATGGGGAACACATGAAGAAGATCGACCGCGCTGACGTGAAAGTTCTTATTTATTCAATTCAATTCAAAAATGGTCTCGAATTTGCTGCTTCGAATGAAAGATCTAAACCTCATGGTTTTGAATTATACAGGGTGGTGACTTGCGTAACGCATCATAGGGATTTCAATGTAAAATTCATAACATGCGATTATTGGCTCCCCAAATTATTTTAGAGCAAAAATGTATTAAAGTTTTTTGTAAAAAAATCAATCAACCGCCATCTTTTTCAATAATCTGCAATGCCATGGAATTTTCTAAAACAAAAAGATATCCAGTTATCAATTAGCAGCAGTTCGAAATTGATTTTATGATCGACTTGGTTAGTGTCTTGCAGTTAACGGTGACTTATTCGAACATTTATTGTAAATTGTTATATTAGGAAACCAGTTTTAGTAGGTAATTTGGTCTTTCTTTATGTTGAATTCGCTGTCCTAAATATAATTCTTTTTGATAGAATTTGATTTGTTTTATAGCAGACATTCCATGGCATGACGGATATTGGCGTAGTTTTTGTATTATAAAATTCCATGGCATCACAGATTATTGAAAAAGATGCGGGTTTTATTTTTACAATTTTCCGTGTTTATTATGCAAAAAATTGAAAACTAATACGGTTGATTGACGTAAAAAAGTTTTTTCTACAAAAAACTTTAATACATTTTTGCTCTAAAATAATTTGGGGAGCCAATAATCGCATGTTATGAATTTTACATTGAAATCCCTATGATGCGTTACGCAAGTCACCACCCTGTAGACATTTCTTATTACAACACACTATACTCGTAACCGACTAAAGTGGAAGCACATTCCTGTAACTACAATCTAATGCAGGGCAATGCCAGTTATACATTTACAGCATGTGAGCTATACGAGCCATAACACATAAATATTCGGACGCTCGATTTTAAAAATATTGTAACTTAAAATCATTGTATGATTTTTTATTAATATTTTTCTTGTTTTGACACCATTTCTTAACAATGAGTTACATCCCTTTTGGCTTTAATAACAGCCTGGATTCGTGTAGGCATGATCGTGACAAGAGCTTTACATTCATCGGCGCCAAAGGTATCCCAAATGTTTTGTAATTACTCCCTCAAAGAAGCAATATTGCATTGCGGTTTTATGCCATACTGCCTCAATGACATTGAGATCTGGACTGTTTGAGGACCAATCTAAAACACTAGAATATTGTGGTCTTGTAACCATTTCTTAGTCGTTTTTGCTGTGTCTCTTTCCTGTAACTTTGATTGATGCTGTTTTTCCATACTTTGTTACAATATCTGCCACCGTGGACTTGGGCAAATTGAATTCCTGACCTATTGGCCTAAAGGATTTTCCCTTATGAAACCATTCTACTATTAATTGTCGAATTTCTTTGCCACATGCCATTTTTTTTTAACAAAATGTCAAAGTATACTGACAGGTTATAAAAATTATTACTTTTTGTTTTTATCCCGCTACCTAGATCAAACTATCAAATATGTGTGGTGTCCGAACATTTATGTATCAGTTCATTTTGCTGGTTTTTCCATTTTTATGTTATGAGAGCATTAAAAAAATAGTATTTTGCTATTAGATTTAAATAATAAACTTATAAAACATATTTCTGTATAAAATATTTATAGCTTTATTGACATTGACTTGGATTTTTTTTTCGGTTTTATTTTAAAAATGCTAGATGTCCGAACATTTATGTGTTAGGGCTCGTCTACTTGAATGTACAGAGGAAACGTCTGATCAATTTGAACTACCTACAGTATTTTTAAAAAATGCGCCAAACATTCTCACTGTACAGGGTCATTCTTGACGAGCGTCAGTTAGAAAGATATGGAAAACCTTTGAAAATGGAAATAAACTGATAAGCCCTTTAAGGGTTTTGGCATATGATGAATTGAACTAAAATATTTTCAAAATGGCGCCACTTCCGGAAATACCGGAAGTAGCCATCAACTTTGTTATTTTAAATAGGGACCCCCTATTTTTTCTACATTTTCGGATTCTACGTCGTTTGGAGTACAACGATACCCCATAGTTGACCCTTTGCTCCAAGGGCTTCGCCGATATTCAAGTGTTTGTATCAAAAATTGAATTTGCAGGGATAACTTTAAAAATTTATTATTCGAAAACGGTGAGAGATATTGCAAAATAGTTTTCAATGCTTTATTAAGGAAAGATCGAATTTTCTTATGGTATGCGTAAGAGTGTAAGAAAGTGAGACTACGTCACTTTTTCAAAGCTCTCAACTTTTAAACTTTTAAATACCCGTAACTCCATTTTTTCAAATGGCACCCCCCATTTTGTTTTTCACCCTTGTTTTCCTTTTTCCCAGACCTTTAATTTGATGCAAAATGTCAAAAGCTGCTCCAAACGGTTTCCGAGATATTCCGTGTTTTAGTTACTTCTTGTGGAAAGTTGATAAAAAAATTAAATCGCTTGATGTTATTGTTTTGTTTTTATTATGATAATGTTTAAACGTCAAATTTTCGCTGCTTGAACTTATACTTCTCAATTTCTCGTTGGATATCATTGAGCGATGCAGTTGGATTTGCAGCAAAATACGCCAGTACAGTTATTTCTTGTTCTTCAGTGTACCACAGGCTTCCTTTTTTGTATTTTTGTTTGAAAGATGCCGTTATTCCTGAAATTTTGTAGTAATTTGCGAATTGTAGCCTCTGTGGGTTGCGCCTTGTCAGGGTATCTTTCGGAAAAAAGACGACAAGTACTGGCAGCTATTCGATTACATTCACCGTGTATTAATATTAAATTCAAAAAATCTTCATTAGTGTAACCCAAACGAGCCATTATTGACGAAAAGTATAAGTTCAAGCGGCAAACATTTGACGTTTAAACATTATCATAATAAAAACAAAACAATAACATCAAGCGACTTAATTTTTTTATCAACTTTCCACAAGAAGTAACTAAAACATGGAATATCTCGGAAACCGTTTGGAGCAGCTTTTGACATTTTGCATCAAATTAAAGGTCTGGGAAAAAGGAAAACAAGGGTTAAGAGTCTTCTTTACCCAAGCGCAACTTTTTTACATTATTATAGTATATAGACGATTATAGTTGCAAGAGACAAGATGGTATTTTTGCTTTGTCAACTCCTGTCTTGGTCCTTAGTTAGATTCCGCCGACACTGAGCAGCGGCGCCACTTGTTACACTGAAATTGTTGATTTACCGCCCGCCAAGATACAGACTTTATTTACACAAAATATGATTTCATTTTTTGGGGTAATGTTTAGAAGGAACTTATCTAAAAAACTGTCGGTTTACTTTTTCCATAAATCGTCTTGATCGCGAGTAAAAAAATGAAACAGATTAGCGCAATAATCGGCGCAAAACAGCTAATCTTTAAACAATCGATACCTATTCAGTTGCTATACACTTTTTAAAAAAAATAGTCCGAACATTTTGTAGATAAAGGTCTAAATTTATAAAATAGTTCTTAAAAAAATTTTTTTTTTGAAAAACAACTAGAGTTTTTATGGCGGGCGCTCTTATGGAAATTTACATTGGGTGCAGTGGGTACAGAAGACTCTTAAGAACAAAATGGGGGGTGCCATTTGAAAAAATGGAGTTACGGATATTTAAAAGTTTAAAAGTTGAGAGCTTTGAAAAAGTGACGTAGTCTCACTTTTTTAGACTCTTACGCATACCATAAGAAAATTCGATCTTTCCTTAATAAAGCATTGAAAACTATTTTGCAATATCTCTCACCGTTTTCGAATAATGAATTTTTAAAGTTATCCCTGCAAATTCAATTTTTGACACAAAAACTAGAATATCGGCGAAGCCCTTGGAGCAAAGGGTCAACTATGGGGTATCGTTGTACTCCAAATTCGACGTAGAATCCGAAAATGTAGAAAAAATAGGGGGTCCCTATTTAAAATAACAAAGTTGATGGCTACTTCCGGTATTTCCACGCGCCATTTTGAAAATATTTGAATGACCCTGTATACTTTCCACTATTCTAAAACAGATAGGTGTTGCATATTGGTCAACTATAACACGAAAAATACGTTCGATCTTCTCCTGTCTTCCACAGAATATAAAAATATTACCGTTGATATCAAGAACCGCCAAATTTCCGCGCAATTGTCGAACGGATTTTTCAGAAAATGATGCCATCTTATTGTTTTTTATACTTAGAATACGGAGTCGTGGCATTTCGTTAAAGGGGGTGCCCTGAACGCTGCATATATGATTGTTGTCTAAACGCAATTCGACTAACCACTCCATTTTTTCGAAATCGTCATTTGTAATTTTCGAAAGACGATTATTACTCATATCTAACATTTCCAATGATCTCAAGTTTTTTAATCCGGCACTCTCTAACGATGTGAACTGATTGTGGCTCATGTTCAGCATAAGTAAGTGAGTAATTGATGAAAATCCGTTCTCGGAAATACTCTCCAATTGGTTTTCTTGAAGCTCCAATACTTGTAGCATAGGAAGATCATAAAATGCGAATTCTGGTAAACGTCTCAATTTATTGTTGTTCATTTTGAGTATCACAAGCGAAGGTAACGAATTAAAGGAATGACTTTCAATTGTTACTAGTTCATTGTTGTCTAAATATATGAGTTTTAGTGATGGTAGGTTCCCAAAAAGATTCGTTTTTATTTCTGGAATCAAATTTTTAGATATCCGCAGTTCGAAGAGGGCGCTTAAACTTTTTAGGGTTGTGGAATTAATGTTTAGTAGTTTATTATTAGTCAGATCCAGAACGCGTAATTGCTTCATTCCTTGGATACAGTCCGGAAATTTGGATAAGAGATTAAAAGAAACGTTAGCGATTTGCAAATCTTTCGTATTTCTCAGTACAGTGTACGAAATTTCACTCAGCTGGTTTCGACTTAGATCTAGTTTTTTCATATGCGCCACTTTATTAAACACATCGTCCGATAAAATACCGAGTCTATTTTCTGCTAAGTTGAGCTCACGCAATCTAGAAGCATGTAAGAACGCAACAGCTTCAACATGTTCTATTTGGTTACTTCGTAAGTCTAACACTTCCAAGTTTGGCAATTCTACTAACGAGGCTTCATCCAATTCTCCTATAGAATTTTTTTGAACGTACAACTTTCTAAGTTGACGTAAATAACGCAACGTTCCCGGAAATATCCGCTCAATACCGTTGTAAGATATATCCATCATCTTGAGCGTTGGAAGATTTAAGTCCGTCAACGGCAGCTTTGTAATCATGTTTTTGGAAACGTGAAGATACTCGATAGCAGGTGGAAGTCCCCTTACAAACTCGAACAGGTGATTATAACTACAATCAAGTTCGAATAATCCTGAGAGATGACCGAACGTTGCGGGGTGGATATCACTTAATCGATTACTCGAAATATTAATATGCTCTAGAGCGGGCGTTTCAAGAAAAGCTTCGGAGCTGATTAAACTTAATCGGTTATTGCTTAAATCGAGCCTTCTTAAGTTTGGCAAATTTGCAAGTAACTGTGGCTGTAATATTTTGAAATAGTTGTGGGATAAATCTAATCCCTTTAAAGCCGGAAGATTCCAAAATGGCGCCTCTAAGATATCCGAAAGAGAGTTATTACGTAACCGTAACTCTCTCAAAGCCGGCATTGCCTTAAAGGTTTCGCGTTCTATTGTATGAAGATTATTATGATCTAAGTGGAGTCTTTCTAACATTGCGTGTCCTCGTAACGAACCAAATGGTATCACTTCTAAACTATTATAACTCATGTCCAAAAAAATTAAACGCGGCAATGCATCTAAAAGGGATCTCAATTCGGCAACATGACTTATGTTGTTTTCTATCAGCCAGAGTTCTTCTAATCCGCTTCCCGAATGTTGTAGAAAACTTTCTGGGTGCACTCTTCTAATCAGGTTCTTGTTCAAATCCAGTAATTGAAGCATAGGTACTCGGTGGAAGGCTCCGTGGTGCAATTCCTTAATTCTGTTGTTAGAAACGAATAATTGCTTTAACGACGGAAGATCTACAAAAGAGCCCTCACTCAGTGTTTCCATTGAATTGTGCTCCAAATGTAACACTTCAAGGTTGGATAAGTCCCTAATACTTCTTCCCACTATTGCGGGGTCAACAATTTTATTTCCGACTAACCAAAGCTCCTTCAATGCAGGGAGATGCGTAATAGCTCGTGGATGGATCCAGGAAATACCACAAAATGAAATATTAACCAAATTTAGTTTTGGAAGGTCTTGTAAGAGACCTCCCTCAAGCCTGGACAAGCGAGGGCTACCAGTTATGTGCACCTTTTCTAGTGTCGGTAACTCTCGAAAGTGCCGAGAAGATAATTCCACCAGTGATTTCGATTCGATTTGTAGATATCGAAGTTTTGGCAAATCGGAAAATGTAGGAAATCTTTTTAATAAATTCGAGTTTATCGTTATCGCCTCCAGAATGTTTAGACCGGCCAAGCTGTCTTCAGGTAAACTTCTAAGAGCCGGTTCCACGATGAACAGCTCCACAAGAGACGTCTCCAAGCCACTTAACCAACTAGACGATACGCGTTCCAGGCCGTTATACCGTAGCATTAATCTCATCACCTTCAGTGGAACAAAAGTTTTAGCTGGAACTGCTGGCAGCTGATTGTTCTCTAATATTACTTCGTCGATCAGTTCCTGAATGTAATCTCCAACTTTTCGTAATCCTTCTAAGACGCGCGGAAGATTGCTATGCGAGCACCTAATAAGCATCGTTGTCAGTGTTTCTTTATGTACCTATGTTTAGATCTAACACGCATCATACTTACCAAATCTGTATAAAAGTTCCACGAGATAAACAACGACATGGCAATATATGTTCTTGCGGTGGACATTCTTTCTGACCCATTTGGCATAGTCCTTGTTCAAGATAAAGTATCAGTGAGTAATATAAAAACCATTTCCATGATATGGACATCTTGCTTCACATATTTCCTTTGAAATCGACCATAGTTTGGAGTGGATAATGTTTTGACTGAAAAGTAAAACGCATAGTTATAGTGTAAGGAGTCGTTTCATAAGTTAAAATGATGAGTTTATACAGGCCGATTCTGATTCTAGAGCCACCTTGGGGATCACCGAAACTGTAAGCTATAGTTTAAATTTGGCAAAGTTGCGTAGGTATTTTGACAATAACAAAATTCCGTTTTGAAAATGCAAAAGTTCAGACTAATTTCAAAAATATCCGGAAAAATTTTGCAAAATCGTTTTTATTTTTTAATGAAGTTATTTAAAAATATATTTCAAAATAAATGACACATTATTATGGCCACTTTTTTCCCTCTACAATAAGATGCTAGTCTTAAATTTTAAGTCTGACGTTTCGTCACTTCTCGAATTTGAATCGACCTGTATAAACACGTTCCAGATAAATCCAAAACTGACTTTTTAAGCTTTTAACGTCGCTTTTAACATTGCATTTTATTTTATCACTACAAGGACGTTTCGAAAAAAAGGTTTTTTCAGAACCTAGTGAGGCCGCACGTTCTTTTAAAAATCCCTTTCGGTTCAGCCAATCAGCTGTAGGTAGATTTGCATAAAGTGTCCTCCATTTTGTTCCAATATGGCGGATTTGGCTGATTCACGAACTTGACCGATAGATATTTATAAATTACATCACCCCTTAAAGTTTGGTCGAAATCGGTTCATAATTATACGAAAGTAGAGTGTTTCTTGAAAGTGATATGCATATTATATAAACCTATATAACTTTGATTATAGCAAAGCTATATAACTTATAAACATATATTTTTGAAAACAAGTCACATTTTCCCATTGCAACTTATTTCCCCTACAAGGTGGTATAATTACGAGTATATAAGTCTGACGTTTCAGTTTTTTGGGTCATCATCAACTTTATTTTTTTTAAGAGCTCTTCAATCTGAAAAATGCATGTGTCACAGTATGCCAATAGAATAAAACTATCAAATTAGACTAACGCTATAACGCCTTAAGATTGGCAATAACTTACAAAAATATATAAGGTGGCTATGCGAAGCACATGTGTACCTATAGCTCTTTTGTAGCCGGCAATCGGCATTAAAATTTGCCAAATGATATTTATGATAAACGCTGTCGAAAATACACCTGTTTGGATAGTTTAGAAGAGTAAGAGAAACACAAAGCCTTAACCTTATTTCCGTCGCTACAATTAATAATTATCATATTCTATTTAATTCTTCAGTGAACACCCCCCACTTCCACGCTATCCCTCGCAGAACGAGCAACTGCATTTTTTGACGGTTTTAGTAAAGTATTTGCTCGCAATACATGATTCAATAGTAAAAAAAACTCTTAATTTTTCAGAAACTTTTCAGTTTGCCATGGAATGCTTTTGTTTCATAGCCAACTGAAATTTTTGTTTCTAAGTTAATTTTGCTTTATTGTCAATTTTAAGGTGGTAGCGTGACCGATTAATGCAGTGGCGTACTTTTTTTGTAATTCTTATAAATTAATTTCGGATTCGTGATTTTCGTGTTCAATAACCTCAGATGCCAAATTTGGCCGGGATCATAATCTTCTTCGCACTCTGTTTAGGAGTGAGTCACCCTGGGGTAAAAGCTTTAGAACAACTTTTATAAAAACGGAGAAAGAATACCGAAAAACCTACTCAAAGACGCGTGCTACCCGTATTTGTTACCTATTCTTATACTCTTACCGAGAAAAAAATTAAAGAATAAATAGGTACCTATTAATTTCACGGTTTTTTTAGGGTAGCTCCCAATCGCAACAAGATGATTGGCCCCTTGATTTGTTAATTCTGTATAAGTTAAGGGGATGAGCCGGAGCCTAATTTAGTTTACACACTGTGTAGTTTTCTTTATTCGAATAGAAATGAAAATTTTTCGTACCTAGTACAGAAGTTATCCAAGTTGTTCAGTTTGAGCGTTTGCCAGCATTATTTCAACATTACTTTAGTTCGTACCGTCAATTACTTATATAAACTGTTAGATCTCTCTGTTGTTCGATGCCAATAAATCAGACATTATAAATTCTTACAGATAGGTACATATTATTCTAATTTTTGTGAGATTGTTGATTTGAGCATAGTAAAAATGATGATCACACAAGATGATTGTCGTCATTTACTTGTACGGTACTTGAAATGTAATTTTACAAGTTACGGTGCTTGTCAACGCTCTATGACTGCACTGAAATTTTTCACGAGTCACGATTATGTCGTCAATGAAACCGTATTTAATTTTGTAAGCAAAACACACGGATGGTTTTTTAAATAAATTCCATGATGAACTTACTATAAACAACCTTTGATTATAAAAATACAATATTCAAATCTAACAACAGTTGTAGGCATTTATTTCGATGGGATTATCGATGCAATGTACAATGCGATCTAAAATGAATTGCTATCGAGCTACCTTTGCAATTTTTGTTTACGCGGGAAATTGTCCAAAGGCGACTCGACAGAAACTCATTTTTGATCGCCCGTTAAACCTATTTCACTGTGAAAAACAGATTTTTAAAAATGTTTAAAATAAATTTAGTTAAAATTGAAACAGAATTTGTGAATAAGTAACGAGCGATCTTCACTTTCATCTACCCATCAGTAGGGATTTTACATTTGAAGTCTAAATTAAGGGACGCAAATCATGTAAACGGTAATGTCTTTAAAACGTAGGTATTCAGTATTCGCAAAACGCGGTTGGGATGCTGGTAAGGGCAAGAAAGAATATGACTAGCGAAGTGTATAATAAGTCTCTTTATTGTAGGTATAGAACATGTTCTTAAGTTACCCAATAAAAGTATAGGGTTTTGTATGAGAACCCAACTAGGGGCGACTTTCAATATTTATGTATTGGTACCTTAGGTATCTTTTTGAATCTATAAAGTTTTAACTAATATTTTAAACATTGAAAGTGCAAGGCTAACCCCACAGTGTAAATAAAATAATAGAAAGCTAGCCAGGAAAAGTAATTATTTTCACAGTGAACGGTGCCGTTAAAAACACTTTCCCTGCCTATTATCATTTTCTAAATTTCTAGATGCGCTTAGTAAACTCATCCGCATTCATGTAAAGATATATGTTAAGCAATTACTAATTAGCCATTTTTGTCAAAACATTTTTTTTATTATTATATTAGGTGCAATAATCATCTTACATACCAACGTGCTGTCGTTGCTCAAAGCTCATTTTGCCCACATTGTTAATCAAATGATAGGTAATTTGTAATTACCTCATTGTTTTTATGCAAGAGTAAAAACAGACAATAGGTAGGTATGTAAGTACGCTTTCCTATTTTGTAATATTAAATGTAACCGTGTAGGGTAATAAAGTTCCTCCCAAACAACTATAGGTACGTAGGTTCTATATGTCGTCCTTAATTGTTATGGCCAGACGACTATATACCAGAAAGTTAGTACATGAGGAAACAAAAATGATACGATATGATAAGTAGGTACCCATTCGGAGGGTTTCGAGTAAACTTCTCCGTTTAGAGCAAAATTTTTTAAAGCCTATACCTATCAATGTAGGTATGCCTAGTTATCCTGAACGTCTAAAGTGATACGCCTATAATGCTCTGCGTGGTTTTATTCGAAACAAACTGAACCCTTGTTATACGATCGATTTTGCACATTAGAAAGCAACAATGAGTCCTTATAAATCCGAACAAAACGATTCTGAGGTTTATAGACTTTACGAAAAATTAGGTAAAGATTAGGTACACATTACACTTAACGCAATTCGTGAAATCCATATATTAACCAAAAGGAACCGTTCATGTTTTCGGTTATTAAATTAAGGCACGCCGTACCTACTTAGTATATCTAAGTACCTATGTACCTAGAAAGCATTGTAATAAAATTATATTCTTATTAGGGACATAGGTACCTACACCTATTCCGGATGGTATAACCAATTTTAACAAATGCTTTAGGCCAATAAAATACGACTTAAAATGTAGGTGTCAATGTTGAATCGAATTGTTTTTGCGAGGGTTACTTATTTGCGGTTTAGTCTTCTCGCAAGTAAAAACTTCACAGTGGAAAAAATTAAGGAGTTTCAATTTTGATTCTATCGCTACAATTGAATAAATAAATAATAAATATGGATTTCGCATACATTAGACCAAAACATATCAAAGTAGATAGGTATACCTACTCCAATGAATAAAAATATTTAGTGAGGAAGGTTTTATGATTTATGATCATTCTTTAGCATTATTACCTAAGCATAAAATAAACCCTAAGTAAAGTAAATAAAGTAAATTTAATCAATTAATACCTGCTTTTGATTTCTCTGATTCGGACAAAAACTCTCAATGCGCTTATTTTTAATTGTCCACTCAGTTTAGTGAAAAAACTGTTTATTTAAAAGAGATTTGTTGATATTTATGAAACATCTATCTACCTATTACATATTATAACGGGCGATCAAAAATGAGTTCTTGTCGAGTAAAGTTGAAGTTAAGTACGTACGCAACTCGCATTTTTGATCGCATGGTACCTACCAAGAAACAAAATCGTGTTGGCATTTTGGCAATAATTACCATGTGGGTGTAATTTATGTGTAACTTTTGACAACATTTTTCTATAGTTTTACGCCATTTAAAACTAAAAAATAAATAAAATCACACAACCCTAAGTATAGATAGTATGAGTTGAGCTTTTATTAATTCATATTTTGAATTTTTCCGTTATCATCAAATTTAAATATGACTACATTAATATAATATGACAAGTTCGGCGCGCCTGAATAATTTGAAATCGTGGTAGGCTAAATTGCTCCCTTATTCTTGCAACTATTGAATCGAATTTATCTATGTACCTATTATACATATATGTGGTTGCTAGTAATGGACATTATATAAGTACCTTATTTATTCATGATATTCCAATGGCATTTTTTAAAATCACATGGATTCGGATTACTTATGTGTATACTTCAGTATATGTAGCACAATTGAAACAACCGCGACACTTCGCGGTATTTTACTCACATACTGACTGTACCAGAAAAGAAATGATGTTTAAGAGGTAAAGTCTTTCACACTCTGGTAAGCTCCTATAGAATGAATCATTCCTCTTGAAGTTTAAAAGTTGTTGTAAAATGTGTCTTATGCGAGGACGCATAGATGCGTAATACGAGATTTACCTACAATAACAACGGTCATGCTTTGAGGCCAGAGCTGGGATGATTACTCAAAAAAAGTAATCGAATACTGATTACAATTACTTTGTCATAAAAGTATTTAATTACAGTAATTAATTACCTCAGAAAAATTGTATTCGGCAGTTCAAAATGTACGGAGTCTTGCAAGATCTGTAGAGCAATTGTAGTTTAAAGGCCCCGTAAAGGCAGTGTATAACTTTCCTTTTTTACCAAAAATCGACTACACCAAAATTTCGTACTTTTTCGATTAGACGTCTCAATCAAAAGTTATGGACAAAAAAGTAATTTCGGCAAAAAATTTAAAGGGCTGTAACTTTTGATCTAGTAGTCCGATCTTGGAACTGTTTGAAATTATGGATTCTACAGGCCACATTCTATACGAAAATATTGTTTTCCGGTCGATCTGAGACAATTTTTTTTTCTGCCCAAAAAAAAGGCAGTTATTTACCTTCCTTTTTTACCAAAAATCGACTGCACCAAAATTTCTCGGGGAAACACTTTTTCTTATTAATTTTGGTGCGTAGAATTCAAAACGATTCGTACTTTTTCGATTAAACGTCTCAATCAAAAGTTATAGGCAAAAAACCAATTTCGACAAAAAATTCAAAGGGCTGTAATTTTTGATCTAGTAGTCCGATCTTGGAACTGTGTGCGCCATCTCCATGGCAATTATAGTTTTAGAAGTCTAGTTGAGATGTCGCCACGTACGCAACTTAAGAATTCTTTGTAAATTTCATTTGAATTTATGCGATTAATAGCAACGTCGCACTTATTATTCCTTAAAAGGCAGTTCAAAATGTACGGAGTCTTGCAAGATCCTGTAGAGCAATATGTAGTTTAAAGGCCCGGTTTTAGCCTCACACCTATATGCACCCCAACCCCACTTGATCTGAGACTACGTCTTTATTGGTCAGCATCAAACCGAACACTACCGCAAATCGTGTATTTGTATCTTACCACTTCCGCTCCAAGTTATTGCGTTGCTTAACCCGAATCTTTCTTAGTGAACTGCAACAGGTTTTTGCAACAATTCACTACTGGAAATGTTACCTGTAAATTAAAAAGGTTGTACAAAATAAATAAACGCCACAAGTGTCATTTAAACTGGGAAGTATATTTGGACATCTCATTTACAACTATCGGTTTAATTGTTATATTGTGCACAATTTAAATCACGTCTCCAAACCGGTTACTCTCTTAACTGTATCCAACAGGATTTCAATCCTAATAGCATTATGTAGTCTGATAATTAAGTTTTCTAAGAGTGCACCTCCGCATAAAAATGCTTTTAAATTATGAATATTACAACCTTGCAATCTATGATCACTAATTCTGTCTTGATTAAAATTGTAAGTCCTAATTTTCTCATTACGAAAATTTGAGCGCACTTGCATTTTTTTCGTATTCTCCATTTTATTTAGCTGACTTTGTAACTGTTTATCATATAATAGGGCACGTAATCGTTGTAATGCGATGGTTTTATTTTTATGTTGGGAACGATCTACTTGACACTCTGTACTTAGACCTGTGGGTAAATGTGTTATTCTTACTGCACTGTCGGTGGTGTTTACGTGTTGACCGCCCGCTCCAGAAGCTCGTTTGGTTTCAATACGCAGATCTTTGGGGTTGATTATAATTTGAATCTCGGTGGGCTGTGGGAGTACAAGAACGGAAACGGTACTCGTATGAATCCGGCCAGCTTTCTCGGTAGCAGGAATACGTTGCACTCTATGCACACCAGCTTCATACTTCAAGTATTGCAACACTTTATCTCCATTTATTAACGCACTCGCATGTCGGATACCTCCTAGGTCAGTCGTTAAATATTCCGCAATTTCTAGATTCCAATTCTTGTAATCGGCAAAATTGCAATATGTATTAAAGAGTTCCTTTGCAAACAACATTGCTTCTTGACCTCCTACACCTGCACTTACTTCTAATATAATGGCGTTACACTTATCATCATCATCCAGTGGTAACAAAGTCTGTAACAGCTCCTCGTCAATACACTTCAGTTTTTCACGAAACGATTCATTTTCTTCTTCTGCTAGCAGTCGAATAGCTGGATCGTCGTCTTGCAGCAGACTTGTTAGGTTCGTGATGTTATCTATTACATCGTTACGTACCTGAAGAATTGTAATTGTAGGTTGTAATACTGCCAGCCGTTGCTCTTGCTTTGGTAACAAGGCGGCTGTTACAGAATTCAATTCATCATACTCCTTTTTTAGTTTAATGATGTAGTTGTTAAGATTAACATTGTTTACATGTAAATTCACCGCATAATTAGATGAGGTATTGTAGAATTGTTTCGATCTTTTAAAGTGCTGATAGGAGTTTAAAATGCATGCCGAAATACTTTTGCAACAACGTCGAGTAGTAATAAGCATGTCACAAATCAATTCCAGAGCGCTTCCAAACATAAGTAAAATACATAATATGCTTCCAAAAGTCAAAAAGTTGGGTTAGGTTTTCTCCTTAGTATGAATGAAAGTGTATCGTATAACAGGGAGATGGCGCACGTGTACTTATTGTTTTTAAACATTCAAAAACCGGGCCATTAAACTACAATTGCTCTACAGATCTTGCAAGACTCCGTACATTTTGAACTGCCATTTAAGGAATGGCAAGTGCGCCGTGGCTATTAATTTGCATTAATTCAAATGTAATTTCGAAAGAATTTACGTACGTGGCGACATCTTAACTAAACTTGTAATACTATAAATATGAAGGAAAGTGTATCGTTTAACAGGGAGATGGCGCACATGTACTTATTGTATTTAATAATTCTTATATATGCCGCTGCACTAAAACCACAGATCATCAAAGGATGTGGTTTGTTTTTTTGATTTATATACAGGCTGATTCACGCAAACCGTTACCTAAAAGTATTCAGACTATAACCAATATGTTATAACGAAAAAAATATTATCTTGATCCGGTTTTACCGGATGTGGATAGAAATTTCTTATTTTAAATACAATGCTCTGTATTTTATCGCATTTTCGGAATCAACATGAAAAATCTACGTCGCATGATAGTTTGATACCACGTTTCCGTTTCCCTATACGCAGCGTCAAAGGTTCTCAAGTTATTCAAGATTTTTTCTTTCTTTAAAGCTCTGTGCATGTGACTCCATTGACTTGAATTTCAAAGTCTTCCAAAATCAACAATACTGATTTGCTGCTACATGCAAATGATATAAATCAACATTCTACAGGGTGTTTTAAAACTAATGGTTAATTTTAAAAACTTCACATTCATAGCAGACAGGATAACGTCTGTCAGGTCAGCTGGCTACCCATAAATGCTAAAATGTCTACATTGATGATGAATTGGTACAATAATCTGAGAAATGGATATGAGATGTGTTGTTAATTGTATGGAGCTAAATTTTCTAAAAGTACAATACCAGCGTTAGGACCATACGTCAATTTGTGACAGCGATGAAATTGTTTCATTGAAATAAAAGACTAAATTGTTTAATTTTCCCATAGAGGATTGACTGTGCGAACTGCTATCGTTGAATAAAGATGCCAGAAAGCGCCATTGAAATGATTAAATATATTTGAGATGCTTTTTAGAAATAAATAATAACAATAATGTGAACTTTGAAAAAATGTCCTTAGATATAATAACCATTTATTGAAATTAAAATACCTAGGAGATGCTGAAATTATGCATAGCTGTACAGGAAGTATATGTATAGGTACAAAATCAAACGTATATCTACAAACATAATGAGTAAAAAACTAGTAATTAGATATAAGTTTCATAATATGCGTATCAGTATCAATTAATGTGATAATCCTGATTTAACAAGAAACAACATAATTTTATGTTTGGTAATTCATGTCTATCGCAACGAACCTACGTATTATTATCCTACTTATTACTTACATGTTTATTTACTACTTTGCAGACGGTAAACAATAATACACCTTACTTATAACACCTAATCAAGCGTCAAAATGAGTGATTACCTACATTATAGATTAACTACCTACAATGTTTTATTATGGGTATATTATAAAGTGTAGGTAATCCAATGGCAAAACAGTTACCTATATCAACAACTTAAAAATACAGTGTAATACTAAATAAACTATTTACAGAATACCGCGATTAGGTTGAGATATTGTAACATACAAATCAATTCTTCCTTTAACTACATCACATAAGTATATACTTATATCAGTATCACCACGAAAATAGTTGCTTCACCTATTGTATGTCCTTAAAGGATACCTACATTAGTTAACAATATTATTGTAACGCGTCCGTACATTTAAACTTAGCTTAGATATCCAGTGAACTCGATTATAATTCTCCCTTCTTCTTTACAGAAGATAATGACGGTGGAAAAGTCAAAAATGAATGTTTCTTATACTGTTAATACTGAGTATCGCCCTTGCCTACCGGTACCTATTGAATAAGTTACACGACAATGGACGTAATTGTTAAATTAGGTGCCTGAACAGTTTTTGTGCAATCAAAATAGCGGTTTTAATTGCACCAATTTGCGTTTATGAGCTTCAGAGTAAGAAATAAAGATTCTTGCTCAAGGCGCAGATGGCGTAGTTGTTGCATAAGTAGGTACACTAGATAGATGAGTGGTGCGTGCACTAGCACTATCCTATATGAGTAGAGGCCATATTCTAACATTTAAAAAACAGAGAGATCGTTTTTTAATAGTTCATATAAATTGGGTTAATAGAGGTCGACCACCTAATAAGTAATTTAACAAACACGCCCATTATAGCATAGGTATGCGTATGGCATTCGGTGATTCAAAACATTTTAGAATCACAACCTATTAAAAATTAATAACAACCAACCCAATAGCCAACTCTAATAACGAAAACAACATGACTAAATGCTGAAGGTGATGTTAGCATACGGCGGCATAATAAAAGTGTCTGAGATTTTAGTTAGGTATACCTACGTAATGGTGGCAACACGCCTCTACTTGGTTTAGTAATCAACCATGAGTTCAAAATGTACGGATCCTCGTTTTTCTGCTCGATCATGTACAATATTCCTTGCCCAAGCTTTACATTCGATGTTAATTAATACTCCACCTAAAACATTAACAATTAAAAACGCATACGTAACGGACATTCTATAATTGTACTGCTCGGATTGGCTGTGTTTGGTAATGGAACATTGCAAAAATTAGTCTCAAACTTCCACTTTTCAATTTAAATTTCTGTGCGTTTAAATTTGTTTTTGTTTGACTGTCCGCCCGTCCGTCTGCGAAAACAAAAGAATTGCCGATTTCTGCTTTCAGCAACAGAGTGCTGAGGACGAGGCCGATTAAGTCAGTTTGGCGGATAAACCTAGGTGTATACTGTGGAGTTACTTATTTACGGATGTTTATTGCCAATTAGCCTCATCAAACTATAAGAATTTATTAACGGACTTACGTTAGAAAACCACAGCAAAATCCTACGTACCAGAACAATTATTGAACGTCCGTTACTTACGGTCATTTAAAATACTTACGTGTGGGTTTTTCAAAGTATACCACAACCAAGGGACTAATGTAGTCGTGCACGTTTAGAAATGGAAAATACTGACCCTCAAACCCAAGATTCGGGTAATAATGTATAGGCCCAATGTTCTCTATGTCTCCAGGATTTTCACCTTCACAGCTTACCCATACCACTTTCAGCTAATCAAGGAAGTTTCAAATTATTTAATAATATACCCATCCTATCCATTTGTAGTTGCTTCACATACGTTGGGCGATATTTAGAGTGTGTATAAGATAAATGATAAATAACGTCAAGGTTGTTGCAAATCAGCCCAATAGGCGAAGAACTATAAATGAATCGACAACCACTATACTATACACGGACCTCTTTTTTTTTTAACAGGTCCGTGTATACATGGCACTTTTGAGAATGTGTTTCTGACACATGCCCGCATACATTCAAAAGGTACGATCATCTAATCTATTACTTAATTAATTAATTTGTTTAAATAAAATTGATTTATTAAAAATTTACATAAATAAAAAAATCTAAAGGCAGGTACTTACTCCGTTTGGTTTGGTAGACAATTCGTCTTCCTTTTTCTTAATATGTTGTCGCAATTCGGAAGGCATAAGGTCGGGTAATGTTGAATAATTATAGTATTGCGGTTCCCAGCCAAAAATCTGTAGGATTAACAATGTTAATGAGTTATGGTAACATCTCTTGATTGTATACCTACACGAGAGTTTTAATCATGCTAATGCAATAGCTTTTCATACGCGCAATAATTAAGAGTTTAAATTTGAATTTATCACAGAAAAATAACGGGCGATCAAAAATGAGTTGCTGTCGAGTCGCCTTTGCAAGTTCAAGTTAAATAAGAATTTCCATGTAAACAAAAATTCCAAAGGTAACTCGACAGCAACTCATTTTTGATCGCCTGGTATGAAGGTGAAAGAACCAATTACTTCACACAATCATAGCATAAGGTCTTATTTCTTATGTGCTGACACGTTATAGTAAGAGCAAATTTTAGCTACCTACACTTCCTACGGGCGTTAATTGAAAATGTAACCCATTATAGGCCATCGCCCTCAAACTAAAAATGTTAGCAAGGGTCGAAATTTAAATGGGAATTTGGGGCAAAATATGACTTATGTTAATTGTTGTTAACTATCTCTTAAATACACTACTTACACCCTTCTGGAGATCTGAAGACAGAACAATGGGTTACATTCTTATCAAAAATGAGTGACTGTCGAGTCGGCTATGGAAATACGATTTCCCACGTAAACAAAAATTCCAAAGGTGGCTCGACGGTCACTCATTTTTTATCGCTATGTATTTTTCACGCGCGGTACACCGAAATTGTTACGTTAACGTTACAAACGGCTAGCGAACGACTTTCTTTTGGAAAAAGTGCACTAAATCAGTATCTATGTATTATATCCGTCCGCCCTCGCCCCTCTTTATTCAAAACGCCCTACAATTTCGTAGATATCGAGATACAAAGCTACTTTTTCGATTCTGTACTTTGTCAATGTTTCCAGATTAGGAAGGACAGAGACACAGGTATTTGTACGTACTTAAAAAGATTAATCCTGTATAGGCCAGGCCGCTAAAACGCTATGTCAGTGCCTACTTTACTGACCCTTGCAATGAGAAAAATGTCCTGTATAATTTAACAGTTTCTGATGCAGATGCAGCATACATTCTCTAAAAAAAACATTACCCTAAGATGCCATTTATTGCATCGGTTAGTTGTAACCGAATTAAATATGAAAATCGTTCGACGTCAAACAACGAAAACTAGATGCGATGCGCTTGTAGTTTGTTAAAAGATTCCAAAGCATCACTGATTTATAAAAATGTTTGAACAGATGCAGTATTTTTTTCTCTAAAAAAAACGTATTTAGACTTTTGCTCTAAAATAATTAGGGGAGCTAGTAACTGACTATAAAGAAATTACACATTGAAATCCTTATGCTGCGTTGGGCTAGGCACCACCCTGTATACCTATCAATGAATAGGTATTCTTTATTCATTGATACCTATGTATGGAATAAATTCATTTTTAGCGTTTTGATGTACCTACGTACCTACTATTGGCAAAAAACACGAAACGGGAAATACATTTTTTTCTAACTTGGTGCAATCGTAACTGAGAAAATTTATTTTGAAGATGTACCAAATGTATAGATATTGTCAAACAGAACATTAAAACCCCTTTCAAACTTTAATTTTATTCGGGGACGTGGTTTTAATTTAGAGGGGGTGCTAGAGGACAGGTAATATTTTCGAATTGTCGAATTGTTTCAGTTTTTTTTCAAACGTTATAATAAAAGTCTCGATAAAAGTTAAACATAAATTTATTCCATACATGTGGACCGCTTAACCTGTATATTTAAAAGTTAGGCATACCTTGTTTAGTTTTAAAAAAATGCATGGCCCACCTTCCGTTGAATTAAAGTTGTATCCTGTACTACGTGTACAGGGATTCCAATCGGTAACTTTAACGTCGCATACCTTATCCGATCCGGGAGGTGGTGGTATGCCTTGGTGGCATACAGGTTCGTCATGACTGCGCTCTCTTGCGTATGCTGTAGTACAAAGAAAAATAATTAAAAAAATGACAATATAGATCTGACAAAAATTGTATACGTTTTAAAAAGTCCTCCAACTGCTCTATCCAATACTGTGTACTAGTCTGATCACTCGCTTTGTACCAAATCAAAGTACTTTCGACGTTACTCTCTGGTGGCATCGGTCGGAAACCCAATCCTGAAATAATTCGTTTATCGTCGCGAATCTCATAAAGCACCATTTTTACCGGGATTACTGCCAATTAATGATCGATCAAGTTGCCATTTTGGCTTTTTGTCATCTAGGGTTTGGTAGAAAATTGTTAACATTGCGGCGAAAAATCCAATTAATGCCGCGTAAAATAAAAGGTAGAAAAGTATTATCTTTCCTGAAACAAAAAAGTATGTGTACCCGCTTGTATCACATTTACATTTCGCATTTATAACTAGATATACCTATTTAAAGGTAATAAAAAGTACCACCCTCCACAATGCGATCAAAAATGAGTTGCTGTCGAGTTACCTTTGGAATTTTTGTATACATGGGAAAACGTACTTAACTTGAATTTCCAACAGCAACTCATTTTTGATCGGCCGTTATACCTACCTGCACACCAGCACAGACCGACGTATTTTCATGGGGAGCAATATATTTATTTTAAATGTGAAGTAGGTACCTACATCCGTACATTTGAGGTAAGGGTACAGTTAAATTGGGTCAATATACATAGTATGTACTATGCAATGTAGGTAAAGAGAAACAGCAGAAGAGCGAGAACCGCTCGCGATCGATACCAATACCTGCCTTCATTAAAATGAGCTAGACAGAATCGTACCTATCCGTTGATCTTTTAAAACTATAAATTAGATACTGTGGACTAAAAAATACATTAAAAACTTAATTTGAGTTGCAATGGATTCGTTCTCGAAGATGAATGTCGAAACTCTCTCATTACGTTATTTTGACCTAATCGCTATAGTTCAATTAAATTGTTTGGATGATCAGTTTTGCCAGTAAAAATTAATAAGACACTAGGTACGTTTAAAGTTCAAGACCTGTTACGTAATCTATACGAATGAATTCGATTTAGTACCTATCCTCGACAATTTAATTCCTCTAAAAGACTTCTTTTTTTAACTTTAATATCTTTTTCATTGTGGACATTTAAATTACAAGGTGAGTACTGTTTGAACATAAAAAGTGCTTACCCCAACTCCCTCCAGTTCGACCCAAAAATTGGTGCGTTTCCGAATTCCAAAGAAATATTTTGAAGCTTTCCCATTTCCCTAACTTCGGCGGGCGCGTATAAAATTGCTCGGTTTTCTTTTCGGCCATTATATTGCTTAAAACTGTAATAGCGGTATGTCTTATTCACTGCTACCCTCTACGAGGAAAGGAATGTAGGGCGGGCTGTTCCTGGGGATGCAAAGCCTCGACATGCGCACCTTCTAATCAAACTTCGATCGAGATGCTACCGCAGCATGAAACTAATTTTTTACTATTATAATAAAAATTTAGGCAAATGTACGAACGAAGAGCATGTCGCTATTCTTGCAACTACCTAAATTAAGTTAGAATGTTGTCGCCAAATTCGTAAAAAAACGTCTGTCCGGCGTACTTTATATAAAACAGCATTAATTTTATCTCCACTAAAGTTTATAACAATAAGTTCTGAGCTTACACCGCTCTTCGATCTATACGAAAAAGAATTTGCGGAATTCGAAAAAACACTCGAGTGGCATAGACCGCCTGACGCCGCTCCGGGGAAATTGTTTGCTGTTCTAGCGTTGACGTGTTTTCAATATATAATTAGTAGGTAACGGGCGATCAAAAATGAGTTGCTGTCGAGTCGCCTTTGGAAGTTCAAGTTAAATACGATTTCCCATATAAACAAAAGTTCCAAAGGTGACTCGACAGCAACTCATTTTTGATAGCACAGATACTCGTACAAATTACACCGTGCGGGAGGAGCCATCGCAATGCCGATGCTCTATCCAAAAGACCATATCTTGAAGATTGTCGGTACTGCTGACAACTATATGAATATCGACACGCACGATGCACCTGCACTTGTGGATGATAATTATTGCACCCCGAGAACTACGGACGGCTCAAGAAAGTGGCCATGATTAACGTCTAACTGGAAAATGAAAGAGAGAAGGCCAACCTGTGTGGTTCAGTTGTAAATGAGACTAAAATGTGGTCTCCTGAAGAGAGTTGTAAAACTGATGATGGCACGACCACAACGGCAATATAACGCACCAGGGTAGTTCGCTTGAAAGAATAGCTTTTGATGTCGCCTTGCCAAAGACAGCATTTGACCATGCACTATTTCAGCAAATGGGTACAGGGTACAGCTGCACGGTCTGGCCACCGTTATAGGATATTTCTTTTCTGCTTAAATTTTCTACGAACTTTTCGGTAACTTACATAATAAACCGAGAGCCCGCGTAGAAAATACCTCGTCATAGGGTACAAAAGGTTTGATACAACTGACAGTAGAATATCACCATGCGATCCGAAAATCGCCCGTCTGCAGGCCCGCGGCGGTCAACATAGCGTGGGGGCGAATTTTGAAAACTGTTCCAAATCACATAATACCTCGTCACTGGTACACGTATTGTTTGACCATCGGCATCAGGAACTCCCGTTGGCATGGGATTTGAAATTTGGTACAAGACCCGGTTAAGAAGAAACTGTTACGTAGCAAACCTGCGTTAGAAATTGAGTACCTACTTACCAACCGATTCAGTTTCAAAATTTGTCCCACTACAAACGAACGGACCAAGTTAAATAAGTTTGTAAAATTTGATCTTTAGGGATTTCTATACCTACAGGAAATTTTATTTTCATGAAAATGATGTCGGTAAATCGGGTCTGCGTTTTTATTTTAATCTGTGGTGGTTCGTTTTGAAATAAAACTTGTGTGTTTAAATTTGGCGCCACGCCATTGTACTCACGCAAAGAAGATATCTGCATGAAAACACCTTGATTTGAACAAGGTCACCTACGCTACGAGCGAGGTCTTTCTTTCCTCGTGGCTGATATCATATTGTTCACATTTCCTTTTAATTTTTAAAAGGTGTGAATAATTGACGTGACAGGTAAGTTTAATCAAATTCCAATTACAGTACTAATGAAAATAAGAAAATGCGGTTGGTGTACGTATAAAGTTGACGCAGTAACTTTCAGAATACACGTGAATTAATGGCATTATATTAATAGGTTTAAGGTTATATAAAACTCGCATGCTTATTTGAACTTTATACCTACTGCGACCTCTTTATCACTGTTTAGATATTTTCAACTCCTTTAAATACTTACTGTTATTTTGTTTTAGTTTAAATTCTAACGAAGAATGAAACTGTCTCATGCTGGATATCTTGCTTTACGTCTTACCATCGCACAGGTACGATTTTGCGGACATTTTGATTATTAATTAGAATTGTTGTCTATGGCAGTTCTTTACAGAATGTCCCAGCTGCGAGACAACATTCTGACAAGTTAATCTTTCCAACTGCAATATTTTTAGCGGGTGTCGGCGTGGCTGTATCATCGTTTAGCTTGAAACAACTTTTGAAAGCTCCCAAACATCATTAAATCGCATATGGATCAGGTACTTAGAATGATGTTAGTCGTGAATTTGCACCATGTAAATATTCACTTAAATTATTTTTAATTTTATTGTAACTTATTTATAACGTATGTCAAAAAATAAAATGTGATGTTTACTTAGTATGTATATTATCCAAGATACTTTTACTGTGCCAATTTGTTATTATAAGATAACAGCGCCGCTTGTAATTTATTTAAAGATTATACGTACTTCTAATAATATGTACTACTATGTACTGAAATTAACCGACTTAACGAAATGGTTGTGGAGACCAACCCTATTCCAACATACCGCCCAATGCACTAGTCTTAACTTATCAAAACAACATCCGATCTTTGGAAATGCCAATTGTGTAACAATGAATTTGTTGTAATATTTAGTCCTGTAGCGCATTCCAAATGTTTGGCTTTATGTCTATGTAAACTAATTGTCAGTTAACTTCTGACTCAGCTTTCCGACTACTTATAGGCATGGTACATTTAGAAAATGCACTTTTGTACCCCACGCAAAAATTGCATAAAACTTTATAGAGCTAACCACGACACATTTTATTTTATTTAACATTTTTTGCTATAATGTTTACTTTTCTAGAAAAATGCAAATGTAAGAAAATAAAGAGTAACTTTTCAATTTAAAATTGGTCAGAAACTAAGATACCCACAAAAAAACTGCGATTAATTTGATGCAATATTGATGCACAAATGATTGCGGTGAGCAAATTTATTGTTCAAGAAATGATTATTTACACAACTAGAGAAGAAAGTGGAGTTTCAAGTTTTACACATCATTTTTTCTGAAACTACAATCGAAATTGAAAAATTATAATGAAGTTTGACAAATGGCTATCTAGATATGGGTATGTTTCAATTTTAAATGTCATTTTTAATATTAACGCAGCAATTGTTTTTTACTTTCCTCACTATAGAGCGGAAAATCATATTTTCTTCACCTTTTCTAGAGATGAAAGTAGTTACATAAATAGTCGATTATGTATCTAGTAGTAAAAGCAATACATTCTCGGGATGGTGCTTTTACAATGAGGTACATATACTATTTTTTTCTGAAATCATAAACTAAGAATTTCGATAAATGCATAACAATTTTTGGTTGCCATCTTATTGCCTATGAAATCGTTTCACACTGTTTGACATTTGATGGCGTAGGTCGGCAAAAATTTTCCCGGATTCGTTCCAGTCCAGGAAAGTTCGTTACTTAGCAACAAGTTAAAATACTGGATTGACGTATTTTGAGCTCTGAATTTGCTCCGAGAAAGGAGGGATTTCCGAAAAAATTGATTTTCGGTCTATTTTAACACCCAGAAACTGGGTTGTTCTGGGTTATTATTACAATGTCCCACACAGGTTCTTTGCAATTTCGTAGGTAGCCCCTGGAGGCGATATGACCACCAACATTGACCTTCACGTCACACCGCATTTTCATTTCATCACCAAATATCTGATGCAGGCTTTCCACGTACTTGTTTCTCACAGATTCTTTTGGGCCGGGTCTTGTATCAAATTTCAAATCAGAAGTAATTGGAGTTCGCGGCAAAACAACACGGGGCTTTGTTCTGTGGTTTCTTGCACAGCAGAGCGGCCATCAGGAACAAAATGCAGGTGTTGGTCCCAATCATGCTGGCGATCGCACACAACTTTTGACTAGTACTTCCCCATTGACCGATTCATACGGTACACCATTCCGTCTGACTCTTGGTGTAAAGCAGTGGATCTCAGGGGTGGACTGGCACGGGGGGCGATTGCCACTTAGCCTGTAGATCATAATGGCCCGTTGGAAATTTATAAGTATGTGCTGTATTTAGTTTCTTGCACTATTAATAAATTATTAACACGTTTCTCTAATTGGGGTTGATGTTAGGTTGTTAAAAAAATCTGTTTTAATTGAAGTATTTTGAAAGTGCTGAAATACAATGATAGGCGACGCACCTCATGTGGATTGTATATTTTGTTACTTTTAATTATTAGCTGCAATTTTTAAAAAAACTGTATGGTAAATGATTTTCGAGAAAGGAGTACTTTAAAATGTTTTTGTGGTGCACCTCAGAGCTAACCCTCCCCCTCCCCCCTTCATTACTACACTAATACTTTAATGGCCCGTAAGTACCCAGTCCGCCCCTGCGTATAGGTTATTTAGTTTAAATTCTGAATATAAATTGGATTTGATAGTAATTAAAAAAATTTTTTTTTAATGATCATTGTTCTGAAATATGTACATATTATAACCTTCCTTTTTTACCAAAATTCAACTACACCAAAATTTCTCAGGAAAACACTTTTTCTTATTAATTTGGGCACGTAGAATCCAAATCAATTCGTACTTTTTCGATCAGACTTCTCAATCAAAAGTTATAGACTAGAAACCAATTTCGAAAGAAAATTCAAAGGGCTGTAACTTTTGAAGTAGTAGCCCAATCTTGGAACTGTTTGAAATTATGGATTCTACGGGCCAGATTCTATAAGAAATTTTTTTTCCAGGGGCGCACTGGCCCGGGGGGGCGGGTGGCGTTTGTCACCTGGCCTGTAGATCATAATGGCCCGTTGGAAATTTATAAGTATGTGCTGTATTTAGTTTCTTGCACTATTAGAGAAAGAAGATACACCCAGGAATAGCAAAGGTCGCTGCTAAACTAGGATACCGCCTCTTGAGTTTAAAGCATAACAATCCCCTGTATAGAAAATATATCATACATTTTAGGGTAGTTTACTCCGTCCACAGAGGGATGCTAGAAGTAACTTTTGATATTCAGTAAGTATAGATTTACTGTGTGCAATTTCATGACTTGAAAGTTGAAATTGCAACCAAAAATTGGTCATTGACTCTTAGTTTAAAAAGTAGTACTCACATATTCCAAAAATGTGTTCATTTTCTGATTAAACGTAGGTATCTACCTATTCCTTGAAATACCGTACAGGTAGTATCTAGGTACCTATACTTCTAACTAATTGCCGAACAATAAAACATAAAAGTATTTATGGATGTTAAATATGTCATAAATTTAGTTAAATAAAAGAAAAGTTTTCATGGTTACAAGGACAAGGAGTTGTCATATTTAGTTATTTAACAATTAAATAACTTTAATCAAATTTAAATGAAAAATAATTCCATTTCTAATCACAGATAATATACACTTAAGCTGTTAAATAATGACACTGACCAATAACAAGAACAGAAACGGCTAAAACAGTCACACCGAAAGCCAATGCTCTTCCTGTTATTGGGATTTTAAACAAAGTTGCACTCATATCCAAACTCGAAGCATAAAGCAGAATTGTGTCCAACTCGCTTCCGGGTGTTCCCTGATGCACAAACGGACGTGCTCTTACTTCGTGACCGACTGTTTTGATTAACTTGCAAGCACTCGTCAATCTTGCCGCCTAAAAATTTGAATGAGAAAGGCAAAGTAAATAAGTAAACTACCTGTATAAATGGTGCTAAAATTAACGTCCACCACAAACAAACGTTTAAAATGCTTATCACACTAATAGGAAGCGTCTGGAAATCAATATGATCGTAACCCAACAGCCATAGAGTTCCAGATAGGGCCCAACAAATATTTATAAAGATAAAAACGCAAGCAGACGTTGATAAATTTTCGTTTAAATATTTCAGTAACTTTTTAAATTCGGATATTTCCTGTAAATTAATCGATACACTGCTCGGTGAATGAATAAATGTTTTCTTACCCTCATCCATTCAATTGATTGAATGGGATGTTGTAAAAGTTTAGATCTTAAAAAATGTAAATACGATGTCAGCAATTGCGCTTGCAAGCAATAACTCGAAATTACGGTAGCTTGTATTATATCGTGCCATAGCGTGCCTACTATTAGCATTACTTTCATCGTCACTATTACCGCTTTCGACCTATCACAAAATATATTAAATTAGTGTATAAGTACTAATAATGAAATAAAAGAGAGGTAAATGTGTTTGCATCATAATCAACAGATCAACGAACTGTAGGATAAACAATTAATTATAGCTGTAAGTAATTTGTAATCTTTGGTTTTTCGCAAAATTGGGCTTATCAAATGACTTTTGATATCTTAAAAATGTTGGCCCCACATGAAGAAAATTTTTAACTTTTATTTTTATATGTGGAAGATTTAGGTATTACCGATTTTCAAACCATCGAAAAAGAATTGTACCATCAAACATCATAAAGTTAACCGACATAAAGGAGAGTAACATCCAGATGACTCCCAGACCTACAAAGATCCACAGTAGTTTTACTAATTTTTTTTGGCTTAAAAATCCATCCGAAAGATGAGACGATGCCAAAAAGACCTACGAGAAATGTTAAATTAATGTTTTTGTACAATTACAAAATGAATTATGAGCAAGAATGCACAAGTCAAGTTCAAGCAACACAATCAAATGTAAAAATTAGGTACGTACCCTTTCCATTAAGCTCGGCAACTGGTCATTTTCTGATGATCGAAACGTATACACGCCAAACAAATAAGCACATAAATGTAGAACACTTGGAATGATATAACTAAATATCACAGAACCGTGACAAATCTGCTCATACTTTTCACTATTAAGTTGAGTAATATCTTGTTCCATACTTTTAAGAAGTGGTTCACTAGTATTAAATATCTTGTAACAGAACCCTCGATCTCGTCGAAAACAGGCCATATATTGAAGTAAATAACCAATACACATAAGTATAATAACTTGAATTGTGTAAAACAAGCCGAGTATATACCATAATGTGCAAGACTCTACTTGATCGACAGCTAAAGATCTCAATCCAGTTATGCTTAAAAGTCTCAAATACGGACGGAGAATTTTTAATTTGCAATAATTTAATACTGCAGTCACACTTAAATGTGATGGCCCATCGAGGAACGGCGCGTCCGCTATATCATCTTCCTATAAAATTACACGGTAAAAACACTTCCTCCAGATTAGCACAAATTTTACCGATAAGGTTAAATAAAATGACGAGGAGGGATTAACATCTGTTCGTGCATGGTCGTGGTCCGTTTTTAAATCCTCCGGTACATCCATAACTTCTCTCTCTGTGGAGAAACAAGACATTATTTCTAAACCATAACTACTTAACTTCCAAAACTTACCTCTAGATACACATTTTATGTCCCCCAATCTCCTTTGTGTAGATACTGCAAAGACTGTTTTCTACTTTACCTAATGATAAATGATAACCTCTGTTGTCAACAACGATATCATTTTTTTTTATGAAACATACTACAACATTTAAATAAACTTTATTAATTTAAAATTACGTTATTTATAGATAACTACAATTTTCTCTTTCCTTTAACTTTCCAAAATGGTGCATTCGTGTGTTTAATACCAGGTACTAATCGCACTAATTTTTTTCTTTCCTCTCTGTGCTGTTTGTTTTTCTTTACGATTTCTTCGTGTCTTTTATATTTATTTAATGTGAACGTTAATTCCCGATTACCCACCGAACCCAATAATCTAACAGATGTATCTTCACTAGCCAAACGTTCTCCTAGTGCGGATCTAAAAAATAGAACTCATAATGCCAATTTAATTAAACAGTAGTGGCTTACCTATTTTTTTTATGATTTAACATCTGGATACCCTTGTAGACTTCCCCCTGTCGAAGTTCAAACATTTTTGGTTGTTTTGGTAAATTGTCTGAGTGTCCTTTCTGCTTGGTACTGTGTTGATTGGTTTCCTTGGTCCAGGTATGTTCATCATCCGAACTCTCTTCTGAATCTGATGACTCTTCCGAACTATTTTTACCTTCACGTTCCTCCTTAAATTGTATCATTATAGACAAATCGTTACTATATTACATACTGAAAGGAGTTATAAACATGAGGGACGTTTAATTTAAAAGTTAATGAGTTAAAGAATGATCTTCCGTCAATTACTCTACAAAAAACAAACCTAACGTAACTAAGTATAACATAAATATTTAAATTTGACAACAGGGTATATATTTTAATGCCAAAATGTGATTATTTAGTAAATCATCACTTCAAATAAAAACAACGCTATAAATTGGAACACCCTCCACAAGTTATAATTTTGTGTTCACATTTTGGATTGGAGTTGCATTATATGCTAAACGTCCATCTTGTTGTAATTGGCCTGTATAAAAATTTTTAATACCTGCACTGGTTGAAATTCTTGTGTTTTGTCTAACTTCTTTTTCAACTGTTTCTGTTTGTTGATTTCTATTTTTGCGAGAATTGGATTAATTAGTCTAAACTCCTCTGTGGTTTTGTCAATTTCAAAGTCAGGATTATTAAAAAGATCCTTAAATCGGCTGTCAGTCAAGAGATTACTAGTACCAATCTGCATCTTCTTTTTCTCACTTCTTTGACCATCCATAAGCCTCAATGCCAAGTCTTTATTTACTTTTGGAAGTTTGTTCAATATAACACGATTCTCACGTGCCTTTTCAATAGTATCTCTAATTTTCTTCTTACGATACTCTTCAAACTCAAATGGATTGACTACAGATTTTGCCTTTTTATAAAGACGAATATCCATAAAATAGCCGTGCATATATGCCCTCAGTAAATTTGTTCCAATTAAATGTTCTAAGCCCAAAGATTCTAATTCTGTTTTTGTTATAAATTTATAATCATCGTACACATTCTCTCGATTACTTTCTTCCAATTCCTCAGTTAAAGAGTCCAAGAAACTGGCCCACTTCGGAGCTGGACCTAAGCTAGGGATATAATATGTTTGAATTTTTGGACATTCATTTGCTAGGAAAAATAATCCAGTTCCGGGCACAGTGCACAGGTTATTAAAGTCAGATGTTGCCTCTATAGATGTAAACAATTGTCCCTAAAATATTGTTGTCTACAAAACAATTACTAAAAATGTAGCTATAATTACATTGATCTTATTCCAAACTTTGAGTATGGAAGAATCCATTGAAAACACAAGGTCTTGTTGAAAATGAAATTCTACATCTTTTATAGGCATCCCATACATATGATCTTTAATATAAAATGGCTTGTTGGAACGTATATCATACAATAAAATTTGCCCAGTTGCTGTACCAACCCCCATGGTCAATGCTCCATCAAATTTTAAAGCCGTAACTGAAGGAAACCCTTCCAAGCTAAAATATATGTATATAAAGAAAATTATACTAGTTCCCTCCCTGTACCTCTTATTTTCAGAAATACAATTGAATGCACAATCAAGGGAGCCAACCATAGTTTTACTTCTCGGATCCCATGCTTCGACGTGACCTTCTTGTGTCCCGCATATTAACAGATGATGTACAGAATTAATTGCGCATTTATTGATGGTTGTAGCATTTGAAGAAAAAGGTAACAAGAACTGTCCTCTTTCTAAATTTAATCTGTACACATCTGATGAGGCGCCGACAATAAATAAATCACAACTGGGTGAATGGAATTTCATATCCCTCCCAAATTTAGGTATTCGTAATCTATGATAACGTCCTTGTGCAGAATGAAATTCCAAGTATCGATCACATTGTAAAAAAACTAACTGCAACATTAACAAATAAAAAACATAATCACAAGACACACGTTATTACTTTGCTATAATCTTCACTTAAAATCTCAAACGTAACCGCCTCTGCATCGTAGCACCTTTCAAATTTCAAAGATAAGTTATTAACATCGAAACATTTCACACGGGGTTTGTATATGCCAGTTGCTAAAACGTATTCACCATCTTGGGAGATACGTATCGATGTACTGACTCCTGGCATGTCGAAATCTTGAATAAGTTCAATACGTTTTCGAATATCCACATTTTTTTTAAGTATTGCTCTGCGTTTTCTCTCCGATAGCCACTACAAGTAAATTGGACATGTAAGAAGTAATGTAGTGTGTTAACAATTCTTACCTCGGGTAATGATTTTCCCACACTCAAATTATAAATTTTAACATTATTTGGATCTGAAACTTGCATTGTGATTAGTTTAGTAAAACCACAACAAACACACGTGTTAAAATTTGGAGGTTATATTGGGTTTATTGATATACAGGGTGACAATTTGAAAACTTACCACCCCCCATATCTTAGTAAATAAACGAGATATTTAAAAAAATCAAAATCCGTTTCGGTAATTCGGAGGGGGAATCAAAATGACATACTTGGCGACGCACCCCCTCCAACCCCCTGCGCCACAGCCACCACAACTTTTAAATCTTAAATAGTGACCCCCCATGTGTGATACGTCGTTGGAAAGCTCTGAAAAAATGCTTTCCAACCATACCAAATAGCATTACATTTAGGTTAGTAATTATCGTGCAAATCAAAAAATAAACATGGAAAAATCGTATTTAACTTGAACTTCCAAAGCCGACTCGACAGCAACTCATTTTTGATCGCCAGTTATAATCTGTTCTCAAACTCTTGTCGAACCTTTTCAAATGTTGGTTTTGCAATATTTCGACATTCTTGAATTATTCTCTGTCTTAAGTTCGTCTATGTTCGCCGGTTGCGTTTTAAATACGACAGATTTCAAATGTATCATATTAGTTTATTTTTTGATTTGCACGATAATTACTAACCTAAATGTAATGCTATTTGGTATGGTTGGAAAGCATTTTTTCAGAGCTTTCCAACGACGTATCACACATGGGGGGTCACTATTTAAGATTTAAAAGTTGGGGTGGCTGGGGCGCAGGGAGTTGGAGGGGGTGCGTCGCCAACTATGTCATTGTGATTCCCCCTCCGAATTACCGAAACGGATTTTGATTTTTTTAAGTATCTCGTTTATTTACTAAGATATGAGGGGTGGTAAGTTTT